TATAATAAATTATAGTATGTTTGTAATGTTTTTATTATACTTAATTAAAAAGGTGTACATTTGTTTTATAATATTAAAAAAATTGTTTTTTTGTGGGAGCTTAAAACCATGTATTAATGACCTTATCTGAGTTTCTAAAGGTCTTAATCTGGGTTTGATTGTAGGAATATTTTAAATTATTATTAAGTAAGCATGGGCGTAGCTAAAATTTGAATCAGGGAGGGGCAAAAACATAAAATGATTAGTGTTAAACTCGTAATTCAAGTAATCTACAGATAGACCATTGGATAACACATAAAACGTCAAAACGATTACACGTGTAGATATCACTTGGTCCAACTAAACTATTTTTAGAATTATATCTTATTTAATTTTTGATTTTAATGTAAAACTTACACGTTTGGTATAAACAAATATAATTCAGTTTGAGGCGCAGGGGTGGGCAAGTGCCCCCGCCCCACCCTCGCTACACTTATGTGAGTAAGCGAATTTGGTAAGGGCTTAGAACCGGTGTCTTCATACCACCACCATTTCATTACGAATATATTTATATTGGTAATGTAATTTAATTTCAATAGAAACTATTGATTATTAACTGTTATTGGTCGTTAAAGAAACTATCGTGGCTACTATAATATTAGCAAGTAATATTTATCTCGTTGGTAACGTACATAAAAAAATTGTTAGAAAGTATTTTTTGATAATATTCTTCACTCCCCATCAATATTTTATTGAACGAACAACTATTTCCCTGATTTATCATTAAAATCTTACGATTTTACTTTTTCAATCAAGACTTTCGTTTGAACAACTCCGTTATTAAAATGGATTATTTATACATAGTAATATACTTTACAATATACTCAATATTTTAGTTTTAATAAATACGATTTAAGTTTATCATAGGCGAATATTGGTAGGGTATAGGCCCTTTCCCCTTAAAATTAGAACTTAACAGTCAACGAATTGAAGTTTCTTTACGGTTCTGTACGATTTTATAAACTTTCAAACTCCCTTAAAGCCCCCCCCCCCCATATATGCAACCAAATATTCGTCTATGAATAATATACAGAGTGTTGTATGACTCGCAATAATTTACTACATTTATTATACTAGTGACTTTAAGGATACCGAACACTCTGTATATAATTTATATAATATATATACCGTATACTAAGATCTTATAAATTGCATGTTATAACCAGGGCACGGGACTTACAGCATTTAAAATCATTAAATTAAGCACTTAAAAACATCATCATCATTATAAACACTCGAATAAACATTAAAAAAAACTTACTTTTAAATAAAAACATTCATTATTAATTAAAATTAATTTATAATAACTCCATTGGCTGTTGCCAGCGAGTTATACTTTTAACCAATAATATACAATCAAATAATAATCTAAAATAGTTTTATTCTGTACTTTTACAGTTTCTCTAGGCATCGTCATATTTGTCCCACTTATAATTTAAAAAACATTGTTCTCATATGTAGTTAAATTATGTCTGATTCTACGAATAAAAAACTTTATTTTACATTTTAATCATTTCACATAGATGTATCCCTAGTTTACTTCATTTTATCTTTACTTTCATATTATGTTTTTTCATTTTTGAGACACTTTAATAATAATTGTAGTTAGTACGAAATGTTTTATAACATAGATAGTAAAAAATGGATTTAAATATATACTACCTACATCAGTAGCTTGTCGCTACAGCCTACAATACTATTATGCTGATGATGTATTAAAATTTGAGAAATTATTATAAATCATGGACAACATTCTGTTGTGAACCCGAAAAAAAATAAATACCGATTTCTGAAATCGAAATTGAAAAAAATGAATATCGAAATTGAAATCAAAAACTAAATTGCAAAAAATAAGTATCAATATTTGAAACCAAAATCGAAATTAAAAATATCAATAATCAAAATTAAAATTAAAATCGAAATTTTTTATTTCGATTTCAAGCCCTACCTGTAGGTATTACAATTAGACCAACAGGTATACAATGTAAACAGCAAATCTCAACAGCGTCGCCTGGACATATTTTATAAAAAGCCCCTGGCCACGCCACAGCACAGTACGGTATTATAACTCGCGTTCTCTCGTCTTGCAGATGGATTTCTTGAGCCGCGACCCGATGCCAGTGGCGGACCACTTCATGGCTCACCGGTTTCGCGCCCGTCCTACGGTTCCCTCCGAAGGAGTGTTCGCAGATGCGGTGGCCGTCGGTGCAGCGGTGCCGGTGACGCGGTCCAGTCACGGTCCGGTCGGTACGAAGACTGGAATCGAGGTGTGCGAACAGTGTTTCGAGTGCAGCCCCGGTAGGGAGGAGCTTTGGAAGCACGTGCGTGACGCGCACGGTGACGACGCGAGGCTGCAGTGCGCCGCGGCCGGCTGCGGCAGGCGCTTCTCGTCGTTGGCCGCGAGCGCCGGTCACCGGTCGCACCACGCCGCGTGCGGTGACGGACAGGCACCGTACACATGCGAACTTTGCGGCCGTCTGTCGGCCAACCACACGGCCTTCGACAAGCACGTGGCCAAAGAGCACCCAACCGCCAGGGCCGCGTTGTGCGGCGTGTGCGGCCGCTACGCGGGCGACGTCCAGTCGCTGATGCGGCATGTAGACGCCGCGCACGGCGCACACATCTGGTCCGAGGTGGTCGCGTGCAAAACGCCAAGCGGTGACGGTGTCGGTCCGGTACGCACCAGGCGTACCATTCGCTGCGACGTATGCGGTAAGCGGTACGGCAACAACCACCTGATGCGGTCGCACAGGCAAGTGCACGGCAGCATAAAAAGCCCGCGTGGCGATGTCGCCGATCAGGAATCGACGGCGCACTCCTGTGCCACGGCCACGCTTCAATGATTACAACGTGCTCGTGTTGTTCACATTATCGTTTCCGGTGTACAAGTTCAACACATTTCACGCTCCTTTGTTTACGATACATTTTTTTTCCTCGCATTTCATTTGCATTTCAACCGTCCAAGGTTTCTTGCGCTACTCGCGATTGACATTTTGTTGCCAATAAAATATAATACGCATCTACATGCCATGTAATTTATAAAAAAAATATATTGATTTGTTTATGTGTATTATGCGACTTTTTTTTTTTTTTTTTATTGAAACTTTGTAGGTTTACAATTTATTTCAACATTTACAGAATAAAATTGGTGTAAGCTTGAACATTAAGATATACATTTCATTTAAAATAATTTAGATATAATTCAATGGATAGACCATGCTCACGGATAAATGATAATAATCGGATTATATATAGCAAATTCAGAATTGGAATTAAAAATAGAAGATAGAGTTAGTTGGATAGTTTGAGATTTGAAAAAATTAAAAAGAGTTAAACGATTAGAGGATAAAGAGGGTCAGCTAAAGATAATATGGGACAGGTCGCAAATAATCTCTTCAGAGTGTTACATTTAAAAGTCAAATAAAAACTTGTACTACTTAACTTTACTGAAACTGTCGATAGGTAATTAGTACAGATGACTTTGATTTTGTTGGAGGCATATTTAGCTAGGGGGGGCAGTGCCCATCCAGCCACTCTCATAAACACCCCTATGAGTAGGAGACGAAGCTACCCGTGCTATGGTATAATAACTTCCCTTATTTTTTAAACTTGAATGTGATTTTTATATTATTTGACAATTATTTTCCAATATAGAAAAAGTGCATTGAACTATTATTTAATACTCCCGGACAAATTTATATAACTATAAATGTCCCAAAAATAGCATGTGATGTTGAAAATAGCATCAGTCAATGTTATTAGTTATCTCTCGATTGTTTAATTTCCAAAAATTTAAAAAAAAATATTATGTGTTTACTGCAAGTAGGTAATATTAATTAATTCCCTTGCTAAATGTGAAGTATAAATGTTTTATCACAAATTAAAAAAATAAATCATTAAGTTTTTTTTCCGAGGAACTTTCAGTTTTTCAAATCACCCACACATCATAGGAAAAAGATGCAAAATTGTTTTTTTTTTTACCATACAAATTTTATCTCTGTTATTTAAAATACCTACAATTGATATCATCAATATTGTACTTATAAAAGTACTCATCTACCTAGTCTACTTACATATGCGTGTATCATTAATAAAAACTATCATAAGAAGTAATATACATTTATATATTTTATAGAGTTAATATTTAATTCTTACGTAAAATAATTATATTTATTCGTCTCAGTTTTACTTATATAACATGACAGTATGATACATATAAAATACTAAATTGAGATAGTAACACTCATATAGTTCAGATGGCAATTATGATTACTTTATCAAAGTATGTACAAGAATATGTGGCATTATTTTCATACGTAATAAACACCAATCATTCAAATATATTACTTCGCTGTATTAAAAACTAAATTCGTATGTTGAGTTTCGCACTTACATTTATTTATAAGAGTTTTGAGGGATTGCAAATAAACACTTGTATTATGATGATTTAGAAAGCTTTATAAGTGAATGATGTCGAGAATCGATACCATTGTAAATAATATATATTACAAGTAACATACCTAGAGACTTTATTATATATAACAACTTATTTTTTAAATATATAAAAACAAATAACACTACGCAGGTATTCAGCAATACCATCTTTTAAAATATTTATTCTTCAGACAACAAATTAATATAATTAATTTCAGAAACCAAATGTAAAAGATGCGATGTGATCAACTCATAAAATAAAATTATTTTTTCTCGGAGTAAGCAAAAGATAATTAGTAAAATTCTGTTTGATGATTAAAATTATATATATATATATATATATATATATGTATGTATTTTATAAACGATAACAGATCATATTTTTATATTATATAATACATAACGATGTAACACTTTTTAATACAGCTGTTGGCACTATTTTATATCATAACGAAGATGAGTGGTGATATTAATTACCGATAAACGATGCATCGTTACTACTTGTGCCATCGTATTTAATACAAACTTCTGCTTTTATGACGTGTGGGCATTCTATTTTTGATTGTAGTAATATACGTTAAGATATTATAGAATTGGTAATTTTCATATGTTGAGTAATTTTTTCATTTTCTCGTACTGTTCAAATCTCAACTGCGCATATCTGAAAATAAAAAAATTAATTTTTTTTTCAAATAAATATTTTATACTATTAGGTAGCTTATTCTTTAGAATGGTATTCAAGATAAATTAGTAAAATAAAAATAAAATCTAAATTGAATGTAAACGACTTTACCTAACAATTTAGAGAATGTAGAACAATATTATCTGGGCGTAAGGTGTAAATATTTTGAATATTATATTATAACTGAAGTAGAAAAATAATACTTAGTAAAAAATTATCACTAACCTAAGAAAATCAAAATTTATCTTAGATATTTCGGTTTGAACGAGAGCCCAGAACGTCCATAACAAATGTGATGCTATAACTAACTTATCCACTTGATCCTTAAGCACTGCTACTCTCTGATCACTTTGGTCTAATGATTCGTTAAGGAATTCTTCTAAGTAAAAAGTCAGCCAGTCCATTTGCAACTCGATATTTGGATAGTGCGAAGAAAAGTCGGGTTCATACACACCTGTGTCATTAATATATAAATGTAATTCAATACGTAAAATAAATTAAATAGATTTTGATAAAGATTTTAATTTTTAGTTTTGTTGCTTGCCGTTTTTTTTAATTTTTTTATTGCTTTTATATTTCCATATGACAATTATTAAGTATTCAGGATACTAAGAGAAAAAAAATAATAATTTATAACAAATAAATAATTGGATAACAATAAATTATAAATACAATATTTTAAATGCGGAAACCAACGTTAGAGATGAAATGAATTATGAGTGCAATGATGGAGGGATATCGAGAATTGAGGAGAAGGATTGCTTATAAACGTATAAACTAGAATTACTAGCTATTACATAAAAATTAGTATTGGTCGTCAATATGTGGTATTAGAGTTATACAATTTTTTTTTTGTTAAACGTAGTACTGTTGAATAAGCAAAATATTAGTTGAAAATGGAGAACAATTTTGTTGGTAGTACAAATAAAAATGTTTACATCAATTCTTGATTAACATATCCAAATGCCGAGAAGTTTTGATCAAATGTAAGTACTTAGAAGAAATCATGCCCAAAATGTATTTTATTTATAAATCGTAATTTGTTATTCCTTCAAATCATTTAGTTTAGGAAACGGTAATTTTGGTTGATATTATAATATTTCTTTGAGACAAATACAATTTAGATTTTAACGTTATATTTGATGATATTTCTAATAAATGAGATAAGAATCAATGAGAATAGCATATAGAACATATATCTACTATATACAGTAGGAACTCAATTAACTGTCACTCTCTGTTATCTGTCATTGCTACCGTTATAATCGCGATAAACTCGTTGCGGCGACTATCAAGTGTATACTAATGTTTTCTAAAGCCGCATATACACTTGTAACATTTGCGCGTAACGTAACGCCATATCGTAAATCTGCATTGTTACGTGTTACGTGTTACATGATCATTATTTGAGTGTAGGTGTTGCAATGTTGCTATGTTGCATAGTGTTTCATATGTAAACAGCAGTGTATCATCACTTTACCGTGGTTCTCTGCTGTGGTATTATGTTTATTGACAGTTTTAATTTATATTTTAAACTAATTTGATTTTTTGAATAATGAATGAATGAATGAACAATGAATAATTTGCAAATTAGTACTGCAGCATATATATATATATATATATATATATATATTCATAGTCCAAACCAATTTCCTTCGCTATTTCTTCCCAAGCATAATTTCTTTTAATTTTGTTGTAATATTGAGGGTGTTTTGCATGCCAAAGTAAATCTTTTCTTTGATAAATTTCAATAAATTGGATAATATTTTATTCGTTCCACTCCATATCGGAATATTCAGTTACAAATATTAATAACGGTGTTTTCACAAGAGTGTAGCGTGATTGTCAGTCGTCAGAATATAAATGTTGCGTTATTTACGTCCACACTATCGTAACCCCGTCTAGCAACAATCTTTTGATGCGATTCAAATTTATCGACAACTCGTGGAACGCGGTGTAACTTCGTCGCGTATCAACTTTTATTACACGATGATGTTATGCCTTCACGTCCACACATCGGTTGCTGTTGCGCGTCTAAGTTGCGTTACGGTATTACGATACGCACAAATGTTACAAGTGTGTACGCGGCTTAATATTCAACATATGCGAAAAACGCGACGTGAACGAACAAATTGAATTATTTTTAATTTAATTTAATCAGTGACTGACGAGTGACCCGGTCTTACGGCTACAAAAAATACGAAATATTGCAGCTAAAAAAGGTCGAGCGTCAAAAAAAAAGACAACAGATTATTTTGTTTGAAATTTTTAGTTTTAGTTTAGTAGTCTTTAGTATGGTATGCAATACGTAATATATATGTGTATTATTTTTTTCTGAAAATACATAGGTAAAATATATAGATTATTTCAAAATGTCTGTTAACCGCCTAACTGTCATAGTTCCGGTCCCGATTTGATAGATCCAGTTCTATTGTAATTGTTTTTCTTATATATGGTTTTTATTATTTCATCATAATGCCGTAATATGATATTTTTTTACTTAGAAGGCTTACAGTTTTAATTATTAATATTTTGGTGACAAGCACCACGGTAATACGTGACACACCGGTCGAGAACCACGGATTTAGATCATTGTAATAAACATATAATATGTGCTATGAAATTATTTATAATCGGTATAGAATTGTTTGTTTGTATAAACAAAACATATTATTGTACCAACATAATGTTTTATTAAACTACAACAGGTTTGTTATATTATAAGAACCAAATAGATATAGAAAAACATAATTAGTAGCCTTTACATATAGTTTTTTAGTCACGGACACAAAATTTAGTAGAACGAATCACATGTTGACTGCTACAACCAATAATTTTTTTCTGTGTATGACAACAAACTTGGTATTATTTCCGTGAACAGTTTTAATATTTTACCAAATACGGTAAATTATCGTTTAATATCGCCTTATTAAGCGTTGTTTTGCTATTGCGTTGTAGAAGTTTAAATCTTTATGTTTCGTTTAACACTATTAAGTGTTTTTTTTTAACACGATTTCAGTATAACGTCATTTGTAATACATGGGTTCATCAAATTTTTGTTATATTTTATTTTTAAGTAATTTCATTTCATTTCATGTCATTCAAAACATGGGAAAATCTTGGGAAGAACACAGAAATGTATGAATTCAATATGGCGAACAATTTGGAAGGAATTTATAGTCGATAGATTAAAAACCACAATAAACCTACAATAAATCAAAGGACTAATTTGCGCATAATAAATTTCCCGAGCTAAAAAAAGTAGATATCGATGAAGTGATTTTTTCTTACGAATAAGAACTAAGTAATGAAGATTTAGAATTAAATCAAAATCAATCTTATGACAAGTTCAAGAAGAAGAAAGTGAAAAACCAAACAAAAAAGTAGTTACGGTAAAAGGATTATCTAAAGCTTTCTAATTAATTGAAGAAGGCCTTTCAATTATAAACTATGAAGATTCAAATCATGAAAGATTTTCGCAAAATGTTTTGAACAGCTTATCTATTACCGAGAATCATGGTAAAAAAAAAAAAAAGACAAAAAACAGTCAACACTAGGCTCAGTTTTTAAGAAATTAATTGTAAATACATACATTAATTAATCACATACGTTAATTTAAAAATAAGTTTTCGTTAATTTTGGTATAATATGTAATTTAATACAAACAATTAATTAATTAAATCGTTCAATTATAATACATACATACAATGTTATTTATTGGCAGGAACCTATTATAACAAAATGTGTGTAAAACGTTTTTCACTAACGTTTTTTTGGTTAACACTGTGTTTTCCAGGTACCTAACCTCGACGTTAAACGAGGACTTACTGTATAATATAATATGCATATAACTAACATTAAAATATAATTGCAGTAAAAACAAGAGAAAAATGTTTACATTTAACAGGTAAGATATTTAAACATAACATTTTTTTCAATACATTCCAACGGAATTATATATTCCGTTATTATTATTATATATTATGTATTATCAACTAAATCATTTTTATATTAGTCCATTAGAAATCATGTACATACCAGCGAATTCGATAAAATGATTGGCTATATCAAATGCTTGATAGTTGAGCATTGCGTACTCATAGTCGATGAATGCTACATTGACAGGGTTACCTCCTGTATCCCTCTGTAAAATGATGTTGTTTAACAAGAGATCGTTATGGCTAAATACGATCGGACTTCCTATATTCTCCAGAACCATTTTTATATTTTCAATATCAGATCGTAAGCCCTCAACCCCTGATGTGAAAATTTTTCGGAATCTAAAAAAAAATATCTAATCAAACTCATATCATGAAATAAAAATACTGTAGTTAAAAAATTCATAGAAGACATGAATATATTATTAATTTTTTTTATTGAAACTTTGTAGTTATACGAGGACATTAATATATAATATCATATAAATTGAAGGAAATATATAATTTATAATAACGATATCGAATTAGGTTCAGTAGTGTATTAGTACGTATAAGTGGGTATACGCTGTATACCTATCTACAGATTTTTAATTTCAGCGTATACCTAATTTAAAATACTATTTTATGGGTATACACTCCTAAAATAAATGGTATACCAAAAAATAGTTACTTAATTAATAGTTCATTGGAAAAAATTGTTATGAACTATGAAATTTGAATGAAATATTTTTATGTTGAAGATTACAGTGTACAGTTTACAGTTTGATTACAGTTTAATGTATTTTAAGTTCAATTTAGTAAATAACATTTTGAAAAATGGATGTTATTAAATATAATATGGACATATGGAGTATGGACATTGAGCTCACGGTTTATAAATCTGTATCAAGCAATTTGTAACGCATGGCAAATGTATATCTTGTGATGTTGTATTTTATAGTCTTATTAGAAGTTAAAACATGTAAGGGGTATAATTAAATTTATTCGAGCGTAGCGAGAAAAAAATTTATCGAGTGAAGCGAGAACATTTTTTGGCTGGTACCGAATTGGTTCCCGCCTGAAAAAGGTATTTTATTAGGTATAGCCAAATTGGTTCCCGTTTTTCTTCTCAATTGTACAGGCTTAAGACTGTCAACTTTAAATTAGGATTGGTTAACGATGTGCGTTAATGTGTGTTAAAAAAAAATATATAAAATATATACAGTTTTTAATCGCTGATTTGGAAGTCAATTAGTTATCATTTATGTGTACGAAATACAAATAATAAAATATAATAAATACAATTTAAAACCACTGATTTGCAAATTTGAAGTTAACTTTCTTTAAATATTCAATTCTCGTAATTTTCTCATTAATACACTGTCATACAATTTTCCAAGTATTTGTTATTTCTTTCCTGTTTACTAGTAGTTTGCTAGTCTCTAATAATCTATAGTATATTATATTTCTATACTATATCTTATCGATATAATAATTGTGTCTATATGTCATACATATAGCTTTTAAAATTTTGTTTTTTGCTCTCTATGCACTAGCCTGCTGGATTTTAATTTTTAATAGTGTAGGTAAATTGTGTTAAAAATTAAAATTTTCATTATTTTACCTGTATACAAACGGGAACCAATTCGGTTACTTCCCATTTTTTTAGGATTAATATTTTATTAGTGCGTATACCCAAAATATATTTTCCAATATACCACTAATTAGGCCAATGTAACTCTTAGGTTGATAACATATATTACAAATAAAAATCGAAGTTGTTTATTCTGACATTTCAAAATTTTAAATGTTTGAAGAATTTACCTATATTGTTATTGTTGTGAGGAAGGAATATTTTTATCTAATAATATATTAAAAAGTCTATAATAAATATTTATATAAGCACCTACATTACAATTAGTAAATCAGGAGTCAATAATAAGCAATATTTATATGATACTAATTATATACTATATAAGTACTAACTGCTGATCAGTTGAATCTGAACTAAAACGTTTCGGGATCAAACCGGCAAACTGTTCCATTTTACTCCAAAGTTCAGATTCGTTGGTTTTATCACTAATCGTACTCACATCTAACTGGTGAAATCTTGCCATTGTTTTGGCAACTAACTTATAAATACTTGGTTCCCGAACCATGGTCATGGTCAGTGTTTCCCCTTGGATGTATTTGTATGCTATACCATTTTCGAAAGTGGCATACACATTGGGTGCAAGTCCAGCATGGTGTAATAACTGTGCACAACAAAGATTCAAAAACTATATTGTACAATAGTAGTGTTATCAACTTTCATGAGAAAAGATAAATTAGATGATTAAAATAATTAATATTGTTTGAATAGGTATTTATTTAGTAATAATATAATTATATAGTATATTAATATGGGAAAGCATTTTAACCAACAAATATTATACAATAGGTAACCTAATATTAATCAAACACATCATTTATACGTTTTATTAAGTCCCAGAATCAGTGGCGTATTTACGGGGGGGGGGGGTTCAGAGGTACTGAACCCCTCCCAGAACCTCTCCAAAATATAAAAAATAAACTAAAATTCTTACATATTTGCAGAATTGACTATGTTAAACATTCACAGGGAAGTTGAAATTACTGTTGATGAAGTGATAGTGGCTAATCCGCAGGGGGGGGGAGCAAAAAGGGTCATCGCCCCTACTGGGAATTTTTGTTTCAAAACTATTGTTAATTTAATACCATGCATATTAATTATAACATAATTTTATTGAGATCCATTTATGAATTTTAGTAAAACTTATTATTTTTTTAGATAATCTAAAATGTATAATCTTGAATGTATTTATTTGTATACAATGTTTACACATGATTGCATATCGCTTAAAACTATAAATTCTCTTGAGTACTGATTTCTATGGTATTTGATTTTGTTCTCATCTATTTTTAGATACACGTTGCTTTGGCCCTTAGAATTTTAATCTTGCCCTGGGTGGGATTTTAACCTGCGGGGGTGGATAAAGGATAAAGGAGTTGGCGAAGAAATCGAGACGACTAGAATTTATTTTATACTACTTATATTTTAATACTTTATAATATATAGTGCTAAACACAATATATTATATTGTATTTATAGGTATATATATAATATTTCATAAGACTATATGATTACATTATATTACATTATATATTTAGTTCAACCTTCTCCAAAAACTGCATAAGGACGTAACTATTACAATATAATATATAGTTTATATTAATTATCTATAGCTGTCGACCCCTCCCCTGAAAAAATGGAAAATACGCCACTGCCCAGAATCATATTTCTAAGTTGTATTTTATTATATAGGTAGTAAATTATTTTTCTAATTGATATGGAAGTAATTTTTAATTTTCCAAACATTTATTTTATGTTAAAATATTAATAAAAGAAAACAATTAATGTACTTCTTTTGTTTGTAATTTTGAACATTAAACACGTAGATTATTTAGATATATAGTTTTAATTAAATATTTAGATTTTTAGATATTGAACATTTGTACGCTAATTATACTTAAAATGTATACATTTATCTCACAAATGATCTTATATAATTACTATACAAAATATCAAAGAACCAGTTCCAAGACACAGTGTTTGTATAAGTATTGTAAATACAAACATATGCGTACACAGGCAATACAGGCGAGGTAGTAAAACACAATACATTAACATTTAATATTAACAAATAATTTGGAACATATATCATTTTTTATTATCATTATGATATTAAATATTTTGGTGATGGTATGGGGGAAAATTCTCATAGTCAAGTGCCTACTCTATGCGCATACTCATGAAAACAAACCTTTAAATTTTTTAATTCAGCATCTCTGTCAATTATTTGTTCTGTATTTCTGCCATAGACACGAATTAGTATGGCATTGTCTTCTAGACATGAATCATTGAATAAACCGATTAACTTATTTGTGATGCCATCTGTGAACAACTAATGTTTTATGCACAATTGTTATATTTAGTTTAATTTCAATTTTTTTAAAAATCAATATATTGATATAATAACCAGTGATGAGGAAAATTCAGATTCCGAATTCTAAAATCCGAATTTTCCTCTGAACCCGTATTTCAGATCTTGAAACTTTGAATAAGGATTATGCGTTACTTAAATAAAGTCCTACTTATAAAAAAAATGTAACTAAATTAATACATTAATATATTTAATGTAAGATTATACAATATATAAATAAGTCACAAGAATTTTACTTTAAATTAATTAATACATTTAAAGAAATTTCAAAAATTTTACGACAATGAAGTTCAATAATTTATATTCAATTAAGTTCAAAAATAAAAAAATGTAAAACCCAAAAATCCGAAATCCGGATATTCGGAGAATTTCGATTTATATCTCATCAACAGGACTCGGGAGTTATAGAATTTGCTTATTTTTATGAATTGACTTAAAATGTAGCACAGTGATTTAGAAGTGTGTGTCAAGTTATAACACGTTCAACTATGAAATTTGAAAGTGCCTTTTTTTGCTTTTTTCAGCATTTTTTTCGAAAACATGTTTGTTTTCAGTTTTTCTGATTATTTTTGCTTGTTTGACCAGTTTTTCTACGTTTTTATAGTTTTCTCCTGCAAAGTCGTTTTTGATAGAATTAAAATTAAAAATAATTCTTCTTTTATCTACGTTGTCACGTAGTTCGTTACCATCCGAGACATCGTTGTAGGGTTAACAAAGATATTCCAATGCTCAAAATAGAACTGAGTGTCAAACGTCAGAATGATCAAAAACAAAGAAAATTACAGCAACTACTGACTAATCGAAGTTTAGCAAAATCCGATTTCAATATGGGTTTATGTCAAGAAATGCTATCTACTAACATTCCGTTAAACAAGCTTTCTAACAATACATTTCGAATATTTTTAGAGGAATATACGGGTAAAAATATTCCTAAGGAAGCGACATTACGGAAGGGTTATATTGATGATATTTTTAATACTTCTATGGATAAAATGAAAATAAGGTAAAATTAAATTTGGTTGTCGATTGACGAGACATGTGACGTAAGACGGTTTATTACCAATGTTATAGTTAGGATTCTAAGACCCGATTGTCTAGAACACATGTTTTTACTGCATTCAGAAGAATTTAGCAAAGCAAATCATTCAACTATTGCAAGTTGTTTAAAAAAGCTATGGACATTATATGGCCTGGTGGTATAAAGTATAATAATGTCTTGTTATTTGTATTTGACACCACTCCTTATAAGATGAAGGTAGGTACTGTTCTAAAAAATATTTATACAACAATTACATACGTAACTTGTTGTGCTCATAGACTACACAGAATCGCTGAATTCGTCGACAATTTGGTACAGTAGACGAACTAATATATAATATGAAAAAATATTTCGAAAAGCTCCTTATCGTGTTGAAATGTTTAAATCTGAAGCTCCTGGTAAAAAACTACCCCTTGAACCAGTTTTTACCCGTTGGGTCTTTTGGATAGAGGAGGATAAAATTTACAATTGCGAACATTTTAGAACAATTCTTCATGTAATAAGTTTCTAGACATGATAACGATACAGACAGGATTTAAAAATCAAAACTGTGCATCGTAAAATCGGGTTTAGAAGCCGATTTGGCTTATATAAAAAGTAATTTCGAAGTTCTTACTAAAGCCATTATAGAACTGCAAACAAAAAATGTTTCATTGTCTGGTTCATTGCTGTGGTTGAAAATGTGAAACAGAAATTTTCTTTGTTAAAAGGAAATTGCGGAAAACCAGTTCTAACTAAACTGCAAAAAGTTGTTGAAAAAAATAATGGCTTAAAGATTTTAGAAAAAAAATAAAAAATACTTAATGATGAAAATGACAGTAATTTAGATGACTTCAGTGAATTTCTAGATGACTACTCCAGCGATGATTTTGTGTATTTTAAATATGTACCTATTACATTAATAAATGTTGAACGGTCATTTTAAGCGTTTAAAACAATATTATCGAACAACAGATGGTCATTTGTATTTTAAAATCTCAGAAACGTTTAATTATTCAATGCAAACGGTAAGATTTAATTAATTCATTTTTTCAATTATTGGTAAATATCGTTTACATTTTATTTTTCAGAAAATCTCATAGAAAAACCATAAGATTCTTAAAGTCTCGAATGTGAAGTTTAATTTTTTTTTTAATATAAAGATAAAAATTTATTTTTATTTTGTTTGATTTTTTAGTTAGAGTTTTAAAGTTTTTTTTTTTTTTTTGAATAAATATTTTTGCTTAATTTAAAGTTTTTTAAATTCTGCTTATTTAAATGCTTATAATGATGTTTTTAAACACTTATTTTAATGATTTTAAGTGGTATAAGTCCCGAGCCCTGCTTATCAATAATAATCTAATCTCTTTTAAATACATTAACCATATAATATAATTAAAGATTTATATTGTGAAAAAGAATGTATTCAAATTGTTTGTGCACAACTTGATGTTCTATACCTTGTATCGAATATTATCTATATTCCAGTCCGGTCGTATACATTTTAATATGATTTGAGATCCACTTTTGATGCTGTCGTCTTCAATGAATATAGGCACGTGAGGAATAGAAGACATATTTTTCGATTGAAAAGTAACTATAACAATTAATTGAGTTTCATAAATGTACATAGTTAACAATAAATCAGCAAATGATTTTTGAGTTTACTTTTTTAACCTTTTCCCTCTTTCCATTTAGTAGTATGTAATAGTATTTTCTAGGCCAAATATTAAACGATAAGATAGGTACAACAATATACTGACAAATTATTAATTTGTATTTACGTATTTGTACAACCTGTAAAAATGAAATATTTTTTCATTTTTTCCCTGTGGTAATTATTATGAGAATAACAATCGTTGGATAAAAAAATATATAATGTAAAATACCTTTTAAGTTATTGAATATTATTAGGTATTAGTTTATTATGCATTAACTACATGGTTAAAATTTGAATATTTTTAAAAAATAAGTAACTTATTGGATTAATGGATTACACTTTTGTTAATATTAAATTAAAAATATAAAAAGAATAATTCGAATCTATGTAGAAGTATAAAAGTTCAATGGTTCAATATCTTACAAATAACCTGATTTATTAATGATAATAATAAGTAACCACTCGTCTAAAATAATTTTTTTACTTTAGATCAATAATAACATTTTTATAAAAGCTGGGCTAGTAAAAAGAGACTTATAAATATTGATTTAATTTTGCCTGCATATTATCTTTTGTGTTGGACATATTTCATAATTTTACAATTAAGTTTCATGTTATGAAAGTGTACATAGAGGTAATTTACAACAAAAATAAGTCTGTATTTGTGCATAATATATACCATACATATAAAATATGGCGTGATAGTATGTAACGTACGTAACGTACTTGAAATTACTAATTATGCAGATAACGCAGTGTATTATATTTTATTTCATAATATTTGTAAACGTTTAATAAAATAATGTGATTAGTTTTTACCTAATGAAAAAATAGTACATTATAATAAGTAAGTATTAAAAAAAGAAATCAAATTTTGACAAAAAATATTTAAAATTGATGTACTAGCAACATACTTAAAAAGACACCAAATAAAAATATTTTTCTTGACACAGAAAAAGTTCATTTTTTCATGAAAATAGTGTGATATTATGGAATTCGAATAGTATTTTTTTTTATATTATAAATAAAGCTGAGTTGTTTACAAAAGGATAAAGATCAACTATAGAAAATTGGTACTTAATTGTATTTCGAGATGTAGCCATACTAAGTAGAAGCGGATTAGTACAATGGATTCATGTTTGACGTGCGTTATTAAAACCAGTGGCGTCATTTGGAAGAGTATCAGGGGTTGCAAAAGTTACTCAGAATGCACAAACCCGTGGGGGCTTTGATCCCACACCCCCAAAATTATAAAAAAATGTTATAATATAATCATATTATTATATTCTATTAATATAAAGTACATTATAAATCTATATAATTCTTTTTATATATAAATACATGTTATTAAAAACTATAAATTTAATTTTTTTATAATTAATATATAGTCACAAACATTACTTTTATTTAAATTTTAAATCACATAATCTTTTATAATTATAATATAATTAAAACCGATATTATATAATTTATTTTTAGATTAAAACTTTTATATCTTCGTATTGTTATCGATGTTATTATCATCTCAATTTTCTCATTCTCAGCATTATTTTGTTTCATAATTATTTAACTAAATAATTACTTATTTACTTTTTCACTATCTGGCGATAAACCATAAATATGGAATTTTCAGGAGCTGCAAAATAATACTTTTACAGCCCATACATTATATTTGAGGTCACAAGTGCAACCCCTTGTGAACCCCCAATTACGCTACTGATTAAAACAATAAACAAACTGCATTTCCGGAAATATTAAGGATTATCTACATTATCATTGGTAATTATAATAAATACTTACTTAATTTTAAATAATAACTCCTTATTTTATAATCCAGTAGCTCCCAAACTATGGGACGCAAGCACTTGTTGGGGGAGGCGTAAGGCAAATATTTATACTGTATATTACACTACCATATATTTATTGTTAGATCGATAAAAATTAGTTTATATTTTAATAATAAGCAACATTGTTTTATTAATAAATAATAATAATAATAATAATAAATTTATTCACGGGAGATGCAATTATTTTTTTTTTTTATTTTGACAATGCGTGATCCAAACAAGTCGGAGAACCACTAATAATCGACATATAAGTTAAAAATAATTCAGTTTTTCAATATACTTAGATTTTAAAATTATAAGTATTAATATAATTTATTGAAATACAATTAACGATGTTTGTTTTATAAAATTTATATTTATGGTTTTTTGAGCGTATGGTTAACGATGTTGCAACAAATTCATGCAAGATGTATCATATTAATAATTATTTAGTCAATAAAGTGAAGCATGAACTCGAACAAAACTAAATTACAATAAAGACATTATTGTCATTTGGTTCTATAATGAATGTTTCGATAGTTCAATCAACAATAATTGTTGATTGAACTAATTAATTATTAATGAATAAAGCAGAAAATAAAGTTTGTATTTGTTTATTTATTAATTATAAATTAATATAAATTATAAATAATAATTAATTTATTAATTAATTATAAATAAACATCATAGGCGTGTCTAAAATTTTTTCGCAGGTATGGCCAGTAAAATTTTTTATTAGGAAAATTGAAATTTTCATTTAGGATACGAAAACAAAGAGTAACTTATACAAAATACAACACCTAGAAAACGTATATGCTTAGTAATTTTAGCCACAATAGTAGCTATAGCTAGTAAATAATATACTCATTTCCTTCAAAAAAAAATAATAGATATGAATATTAGATAATAAATATTATTGAATAGTTTTTGTCACAGATATTATATAAATAATATATTATGTGAAAATATTTATTATTTAGTTCTGTTTTATTTAATCATTCTTTTTACTTTTTAGTAATTATTTTTAATGATTTAACCATATATTTAAAACGGAACTGGATTTTGCAAGTCTGGCCATTGCCAAAGTGGCCATAGCCATAAACACGCCTATGATTCATCGGATATTATTTCTCTATAACGTTGATTTTAGAATAAAATATTTTAAATAAATTGAAGAATATACCTATTTTGAGATAAACAACAAAGTGTTAATACTAACATTGATGATATTATTAATATATTGATTTTTTTATAAAAATCTTAAGTAAAATAATTTGAAATTATGTGCAACGATATAATTTCAAATAATCGTGTTGTAAAAATTAATTTTTTTTCTTTAATCTGTATAAGAGTAATGAGGCATTTTGAACCAAATTTTAAGATTGTTTGTTATTACGTCGAAAAAAAATTGATTTAATCAAATACCGAAATCTTATTAATTTTGTCATTTTGCTATTTGTGATTTTTTGATAATTTTCTAATTTATTGGAGAAATTCAAAAAACCAACTCTCGAATATAGTTACAAGAAAAAATTTCTTAACAGAAATCACCCCTTATCTTGATGATCGGAGCAAGCGTTCAAATTTAAATTTGGTTGATAGACACATACCAATAGATTCCTGGCTTGAAAAAAGAAGATCTTGACCGCATGAGTGTTCAAGACTGGAAAAAATTAGACCAGGAACTGAGAAAATGGAGGGATTTAGTGATGGCGGTGAAAACTCTTAGTGAGTATTAAGAGCCAGATGAAGAAGTAAAAAAAGAAGAATATATTCCCGGTCGTACTCAGAGTATAGAATTATAAAGACAACGATTTACATAATGGCGAAACAGCACAAACCTAAAATATCTGTCATAAGCTGGTTATAAAATGTAATGTACTCGATATTGTACGTGGAAAACATAAAAGATACAAAGTGACCGCAGTGTTTAAGCATACACAATTAATACTGAGTATGGATTGTAGGTACTATCATTGATTATTGAATAGACTATTTTATAATCAATGATGCTATGTATAAAATATTTATATACCTAATAGATAAATATATATATATATATATATATATATATATGTGTGTGTGTGCTATTAACTAGTTCATGCAACTACTGGCTATTTTAATTACGGAAATATGTTGCATTGCTTTTAAAAAAATAAGATCATTATTCTAGAAGTAAAAATACTTAGCTTGTTAGTTATAGAGATTAATACACTATTAGAATAAATAATAAACTTTTATTTCCAAAAATTAAAAAAAAAATAACCTATCAATAACCAAATTTCCCGTTATATTTTTAATTAAACCGTATACTTACCGTATATTAATTATATAATATCAAATAAGCAGATTATTTTAGTATAGAATAAAATTAATTTAATTTGGTTCGTAGTTTATAAAAAAATTTTCATTGATATTATTATGTATCTTTGATCTGAATTAGTAGTTGTTTAATATATACGTACTTCATAAATTGTGTTTCAGTAATTATAAGATTAACATAAATATAAAAGAAAACTCATATGTACAAATGGTTAAAATTTTTACTCAATGGGCATAATAAGCTTTAATTATTATTTTACCTATTCAAATTTTAACTTTTAATTAGTTATTTTCTTCAAATCATGAGTTATAATTTTCGTTTGTGTAGTTCGGGTCTTTTAAATCGAAACGTATTATTTGTATTCGCAGAGTAATGGGTTACATTTGAGCGTTTAGAATTTTCATCAGTTTCTTTGGCTTTCATTCGATTTGATCCCTCGACTTTTAACGGTTTGTCAGATTTTTTAACATTGTTCGTATTATTTATACTGATAGATTTTGAGTTCTTTTCAAACGTCTTATCTTGATTAATTTCGACAGATGTTTTATCTAAAATTATAAATTATTGAGGACTTTTTTGAATTTTCGTTGACAAATCAAACGTACACGTATAATTAATTAATAACGATAACAAAAAATTACAAAGGACCAATATAGGTATCTGTCTTTAAATCCAATTAAAATAAATTATGATCTATGATTAGAGGCATAATAGATACTTACTATTAGCGCTATTCTCGAGGGTCGAAACCGAGGATGAGTTTTTGTTCATTATATTTTTGTATACTTCGTACAATGGTTGATCATTAGCAGGCCGCCTCGCGAGCGATCTACTTATTTCAAATTTATCAGCTCTGGATCTCATGTTATCTAATTGTATCTTCCATTTTTCCAGCTCGTCGTAGGGAAATAGTAAGTCTTCGAAATGATACTCTAGAAAGATGATGTGACTACCTAGAATTGTCTGTTTCGGAATTTCTAATTGTGCGTCTTTATGTTCAGTGCTCGAAATGTTCATTCTTTTACAAATGTATCCGATACACACTCCTTGCTTTATTACTTTAATTGTGTAAATCATATGAAATTTTATATAATTCAACAATGTTTTCTGTTAACGTTTCCATAGCGTGTTATTGATTACAGCGCATAACAAATGACAATAATAGTAGAAAATGATAGTAATTATTCAACTCATATTTTAGTGACGCTAAAATTGTGGTGGCCGAAAATTAACATTAAAGTAATATCATTATGTCATCGATTAAACATATAATATACATGCAAGATCCTTTGATAACTATTAATGTAATCAAATACTACAAACAAGTCTCCAACCAGGGTTTAATGGTATAATATTAAATTTCAGGCGCGATAAGGGAACGAATTGGTGACGTGTTTATTTTAATTTTAGTATACACCTATTCCAATATTTCATTTTGTTTAAATTTTATAATAAACCGATTTCAATATTAATATTATTTAATAAGAAGATTGAGATAATATCTGGAGTATCTATAAACAATTACTATCGGCGGATATATTCGTCAATAGTTTATTTTATTTGTTTAAAAAAATTTAACAATTTTCGAACCACGAAACCTGAGACTACTGAAAAGTCGTAGATCAAATTTTTCATCGATAAAGGATGAAATATCAGCCATCAGACATCGCAGTTGTTATTAAACAACATCGTACAGGTACCAAATAAAATACTACTATACCGCAACGGTCCTATTCATTGGCTCCAGGTACACATGTAGGCACCGGAGAAACGGTAAAAACGTCATCGTTACCTTTCGGAGAGTTTCGATAGTAACAAGGGGCACCGACGACTGCTGATTGCCTTCACGATCCGCAACGGGACGTTACTGCTGTTGGAAAACGGACGTCGATTAGTAGCGGATCGAAACGAAACAAATCGTTCTTTTGACCGGACGCACGAGAAGTTACTACGCGGACTGACCGGACACACGGACAAGACAAACGAAGGCACAACGGAACGGTGTACAACTGAACTTGATGTTGAAGTTGAACTGATAACGCCTCCCGGTAAAGTGTTTACAATTGTTTTCGTTTTACAACGGAGTGATGACGCAGTGCGGATGAGCGGCGAGCGTTTATTTCACTTTTGGCCTGTGGCGCTAGCTACCGTAGACCGCTGGAACTACGGTCCTATCACGGAACGGGAGAACCCTCGGTCGTCTTGGAAACGAGGAGCTTACATTTGATTTTACTGCCCTCCGGTAAGTGTCGTTTTGTATTCATAAAAATCGGGTTTCATTTTGCGGTCTTAAACCTACAGTTTTGGCCTTCGTGTAAGTGAACGAATTAATTAATTAAGTTAAATTATTGGACTACTAATTTCTAGGCTGTGTAATTTTAATGAACTGACAGATATTATGAGTTGTAAAAATAATGGAGAACTTCAGATTGAAGATATGTGTTCATAGGTCGATTTTGACTGTATTTAAGTACTTTTCGGTTTGCATAGAAATTAGTATGACATCTTCACTGGCATATTTTAAGCCACTCATTCGTAATTCGTACGAAAGTTAAATGAATGCGGTAAAATAAAATATTAAATAAATAGATAAACTGAAAAAAAAATTAAAATTATCAAAAAAATGTGTTATCATTTTCGATATCGTTTAACGTGATCTAGCAAAGAGCTATGTAATTGAAAGACTAATTTTCTTTTTGAGATTTGCTTCATTCGGGCATATCAGTGACTATTCAAAACAGCGCTTCTATATTAGTCTATGCTTGAGAATCGAAATATTTAGAATAGCATTTATTAAGTGCTTACGGAATGACTAGATATTGAAAATTTCTTTTTTATGTTATATCCATTGGACACTGTAGACCAGTGTTTCTTAACCTTTATATTATGGTGACACACTATTAAAATGTTTCATACTTTATGACACACAATAATAGAAATAAATAATGGGTAATATTAAATATTTACAATCAATTGATAATGTAAAATATTAATATACTGTATAGTATGCACTGTTTAAAAATAAATATAGATAAACCAACGTTTATCAATTAGAATTATGATAATGATAACATTTATTTAATGTAGCTGATAATCTATTTTTATTCATCATAGAAATCATATCAAATACCCATTAATTTTTATTTTTAAGAGTATCAACAATGTTCACACATTTTGTGTTATTCAATATTAGTACTTCACGCGACACTGCTGTAGACATTTAAATGTGGTCCCTGCAGTAATGAGATATTGGAGGACTTCAAAGATCAGACCTAATTTATTGATCAACTCTTAATATTAAGACATTTGCAATGTGTAGTATGTGTAATACGGTCAGGAATTTGTTAATTTTTGTGTTCATTTTCTGTTTGATTCACATTTTATTCTTCTATGTTAAATATAATACTGGAACAACCATGAAACTTGCAATCGACAACTTTTGGGAAGAGGTAAATAATAAACGTCTTAAAAATGTTTTACAACTTGATGAAATTTTAGTACAAACCAAGATGAGTATGGCTAATGTTGAAATTCGAAAACTGTTCATAAATTAATCGTACTTATTCACAAAAAAAAAAAGACCAGTTTTCCATCTATTAGCGCGGAATATTATATTATACATTTTTTTGTAGTATAAGGTCTACAAGATTGTAGCAAATAATGTAAGAATCTTTCACATATGGCCACTCAGCAGTAACTTGAAATTTTTTTTAAAAACGAGTGAATAGTACTGCTAATCTATGTTGGTAGTTTTGTGAACATGAAAGCATACTGCATCAATCTCAAAATTGTTGTAAGTGGATTGATTGATGATACGGCAGTAGACAACTCTCACTCAAAAAATTATATCAAATGTGTTAGAACAGAAGTGATTATTTATTGAAAAAAGGGCAAGTACCATGGCAACTATTGACGTGTATGAAACCATCCATATTTCTTTGATTTTCAATCAGCAGCACTCCTAAGTGGTTACGTGCGAAAAAGGCCCTTAATATATAAAATTATTTATTTGTCATCCAGGTATAAAATATAAATATTAAATAAATGAAAGCATGGTTATTTTAAAAATTTATCATCCAACACTTTATTTTATTTTTGTGGGACTCTTAATAGTTAAAACTTACACATCAAAACAATATATCCTTATGCCACTTAATTGCACAATATAATATGCAGTGACAAACTTTTTACATAAAAGTTTGTGTTTTGAATTTACGTATATAAAATAAAAACGCTTTACAAATTTGAAAAAGAGATAAAACAACACAAAAAGTATTATAAAAACATAAACGCACCATAAAAAAAAAAAAAAAAAAAAAACAATAACCGGTATACCTTCATATTATATAATTAAATATATAAGATTATTTACATAAGTAACAGTGTTTAGCTTAAATTAAAATGTATAAAATTTAAATGCTCGGTGTATTAATATAAAAAAATAAATAATAATGTGATAGTTTTTGTGAATATGTACTTATAAAGAATAATTATTGTAATTAAATTCCTATAAACATATATATATGTCAGAGGTAACATTACAAAATTATAATAATAATAAAGAATAAATGAAAAAAAAAAAATTAAAGATAATAGTATTATTTTTAATTTACAAATATTGCTACAACAATGTAGTCACAATTTTATTGCACCGTTTTTTCATCAAAAAAATATTGTCAAGAATTTTTCAATATATATATTTTATACTTTAAAAACAAATTTAACTTTTATAATATATCATCAAGGCTATAAAACAATATTGGTATTTAAAAAATACCAAACTTTTAAAGTATAATAAGGTAATTGACAATCTAGAGATGGTAGGGATGAGCACAAGTTTTGGATGATGAGAACATGGGAAGGGGTGTGAGCACATTTAAGCGATAGGACAAATGAGATCAAACAATTTTTTAAAGAAAATATATTTACTGTCAAACGTGTGATTCAAGCGGTACATTCAACAGTTTAGACACAAAGTTTGGGTCAGCCATGCTCCTTGGTCTGATACCTCTTTCTTTAATTCCATCAACTACTCGAGCCCAACTAAGATCTGGTGAACTAGTTCTCCGATCTTTGCAGCTCTTCTCTATTTCGTCTCTTTCTTTATTGTCCAACCAAGTGATCTTATCAAAATCTTTAGTACCACCTACCGTATGCCGTCTCTTGATACTACGATCAGTTGTAACACCGTTTTTACGTTTTTGGCGCGCTTCCTTATCGCGTAATGAACTACAGCGTCTAGACAAACCTTGTTTTCGCTTGTTCATGTTGCATTCAGTTTTCTCCGTCTTAGTGAGGGAGTCAGATCGCCGGTGTTTGGAAGCGTCACCGTTTTTTGTCATCATCATTGCTTCAAACTTTGTGTACTTGGAAATATATCTCTCATGTTTATTTAATGATTCACATCGACGTAGTTTTACATGATTCCCATAGTCTGGACGGTTTTCTTTTTGTTTCAATGATTCAGAACGACGTAGACGTACATTTGGGTTAGCATTAAAGTCTTGAAGACATTCAAAATTATCAGATACTGATGGTTTGGTTTTCGAAGAATCTTTCACAGATTCACTGGCTAAATCTTTCATAGTTTCAATTTCCTAGAAGAAATAACAATACTATAAATATAAATAATGTTGACATTGAAAATAAACTTACATGTTTTTCAGTTATATGCTGACTGCGTCTTTCCAATGACCTATGTAAACTTGGGTCTCTGTAAGTCTGTATATCAGCTTGTTCGTCATCTGATTTAGTTACCAGTAGTTTTTCTTCAAGATCCACAGAGTCACTGGGTATTAAAAGAGATTTAAGTTTTTTGTCAAAGGCGGAGGTCAGGCTCACCAATAAATCCCCTCCTAGAAAATCAAACACAAAAAAAAAAACACTAACATCATGCAATTGTTTAATACATACGCATCATCAACAAACCATTCAATTAGAATGTTAGGTAATCTACAACATCATGGTAACACACAATTAAAACATGATCAAATACCATATATAACACTGAAAAGCGCCATCGAATATTAGTATTGTTAATATTAAAGACAAAATATGTTAGTAAAATGGACAATAAGCTGTTATACACATATATGCTGTTTCAAAATGTGTGCATTTATATGATAAAAAAAAAAAATAAATAAAAATATTTGTAAAAGTTATGCTATACAATACATAGTATTTGGAAAAAAAAACTTATTAAACTTGTTATATTACCTAAATTAATTGAGTAGAAGTATTAACATTTAGGAAAAGGGTATACAAGAGGTTTAGGGTGAGACAAAAGTGGATGACCCCAAATAGTTGGAAGAAAGGTTGAAGGAGAAGAAAATGAAGTATTAATATTTAATGATTAAAATGAAATAACAAATAAATGTTTTCTTTCTGTTACAGTAGTTAAAAAATTAAAAATTAAGAAATAAAATGATTAATAATAGTATTCTTGTATAAATTTTTAAATGAAAGTAAAAGCAATAAATTAGTAAAAATAAAAACAATTATAAGACAAAACCATTTTAATTCAACAAAAGACACTGGTGCTAAATTTATAAGAACCTTTCAGGTTGGTAGTAGTAGTAATGTGGATACTGGTTAAGGGACGTGCCGAAAACCCATCCTTGTCGTTTGTTACTTAAGTGCTGATGTATGTTACCATTTGCTGTAAATTTTTCCAATAAATCTCAAACAATAATGCTCGAGCTAGACATGCTCGCACATGATTGGAAAATTACATTAAGATTACGCAATAGTAAACCTATTTTTGTGTGTATAAAGCGCAATACTTCTTCTTAATATCATTTTAAAATTATAATTATTACTTTTATTTTTAAACTTTCACCAACTATTTTCCTAATAAATATGGAAGCACTACTGATTTAATCATTAATTAATAATGCTAAAGTGTAATTACTATTGCGACCTCTTTAATAAAGATGAAATAAAATATTACCTTCATCTGACGCATGACTAACTGGACGTTCTTTAGATATTCTTGAACCATCACTAAGTGAATCTACTGACCATTCATCAGCACTCTCAATACTAGTTTTTAATCGTTTCTGATTGTTTTTAAAATCTGAATCATTAGGTTGATCATATGTCCCATTAGTCGTACCTTTAGGCACTTTGACCATGACTAAAGGAAAAAAAAAATTACAATATTAGACTGGAAATAATCAACACTATATTATTTTTTATATTAAATATGGTTTACCAGGAGGATAATCTTTAGCAAGCATTAACGCTTCATTTGGTTCTGTAACAGGTTCATCAAGTCCAAAATACTCTCTTCTTCTTTGTCCTCTGTTGATTTCTCTCTGAAGCATTGCTTTTGTTTCTTGTTCAAATCGTCTAATTCTTTCTTGAGTAGTTTCAGCTAAATTGACATAAGATTTAATTGGAGCACAATCAGTACTTTGAGGTGGTGAATCTAAACTTTGATCATTAGATGTTAAACGTTCAAGACTGTCTTCAGATTCATTAAGACTAGTACTTGATACAGTCTCTGAACTGGCTTTTGAACTATTTAATTTTTCTTTGTTGGATATGTCCTAAATTGGAAAAAATTTATATTTTATTAACAAAATAATAAAATAAAACAAAAAATAGTAAATTGTTAACAGCTTATAAAAGCTTGTAAAAGCTTAGCCTGGAGTATTATATTAGTAATATATGATAGTTTCAAATTTAAAATTCATCATTAGGTATATACAGTCAATAAAATCTAGACTCAATTTATTGACTTTGTATATACTTTTTATACCAGATGATGAATTTTTAATTCGAAACCGGTCGTACATTACAAATATAATAATATTAGAAAATAAACATTTATTTATTTATTTAAATATTTAATTATTACATAATGTACAATTTTTCAAAATTATCATACTTGTTTAATATCAACTGCACTTATTGAAGGCACACTGGTTTGTGGAACTACATTATTAGATATGTTGGAACGAGACTTTCGTGATGTGTTCGAATTTTTGCCAGTAGCCCGATGCATTTTACGATTAGCTGCAGCAACAATATTGGTCATAAGATCTTTGGCCAAGAATGGTGTATACTGATTGCCAGTAACTTTATTGATATTATCCAAAAGGTTTTGGTTAGGAGCAGATTGTTCAATTTCTGGAACCTGTCCACAATTTTCAGGTATAGATGCTGTTAGATCTGCCACATCGCCATTGCCGAAACACCAATCAGCCTATTAATAAACGTAAATATTAAAAGTTAGATAATTTTCTTAAAAATAACTCGTATTGATTACCTGTAGTATTAGCGATTCTACAATACGGCATTGATGACTCATATCTGTGACCATGGTTACCATGTTGTCATCAGCAGAATGAACTAGCGTTGGACCAAACACAATAGCTAAGTTACGTGCTTCCATTTTATTTACTCCACTGTGTTGAACAATTCTTTTAAGGTGCATTAGCAGATACTTTAGAGTCTCAAAATGGTGGTCTGGCAATTTATGAACCTAAAAATAACAAATTAAAATAGTTTTTTTTCGAAATATAAAAATACTATTTTTCCATACCAATTCACGTAATTTAACCATTCGTTGTACAGGATCATCAATTTTATCAGCTTCAATAAAATGTGGGTACATTTCAGTTGTTAATAAGGCATCAGGAAGTCGCCTAAAGAATGATTTTAATAGGCTAGATATAACATTGACATCTGTCCAGCGAGGGTCACGCTGTAAAAGTTTAACAGCCATATCTGGGGTTTCCATACCACCATTATTAACAGCTTCTGTTAATGATGTAATGGCTGCAGTATTGCCAGGTACCCTTAAATTATAGTAAGATGTTAGTTTATTCTAAATATATTATAAAAGGTGTGTGACATACCTGTATATACCAATAATATCCAATCCTTTATCTTCAACTATTGATGTGCATACTTCAACCATTAAAGGAACAAATTCTGACTGAGTTGACTATATAATAAAATAGATAATAGTGAAAAAGTTGTTAAGAAAAATGTTTTTAAATCATACCGGTGGACAAAGTTCCAGAGGAATGCCTATTGCGGTGCCTGGTGGTGGTGGTAAAATAGGCATAACGGGTGAAACTGGTGACCCAGATCCTTGTTGTATTTTTTTGAGTTGTTTAGCCATTCTATTTTTCCACGTGTTTGTCGATTTGGGAGACTGAGGTTGTGCTTGACTAGGACTACGATCAGGTTTCCGAGTCTTGGTAATAGGTGAATCACCGGAAGGAGAACGGTTTCTAAATGTAGCAAGTTTGCGAATGCTCTTAGTATTTCCTGGTGAGACGCTTAAACACTGAAAAAAATTTGCATATTATAACCCAACATGATAAAAAGTAGACATTTAAATGTTTACTTACTTCTTCTGCAGATAGAGAAGCTTGTACATCCAAAGCTTGTTCTTGTAATGCTTTTAACCATCGCACCATGGAAGATGTGTCATCAGCTTGAAGCAATAATTCAGTGCACCCTACATCATTGTTGTTAGAGCATAGTCGCATTACATGCTTTCTCTTTGTATAGTCATGAGCCACATCAGTAGTGGATGTTTTTAAGTTGATACGATCACAAGATAAGTTAACATCATCCGTCTTGTCTAATGTAGCAGGTGTCTAAAGATTAAATTAAAATAATTTTTGATTCAAATTAAAAAAAACATTATTGATTTTTTCTTAGGTTCAAAAGAAATTTATTTATACCACAACGTAATTAAATCGAATAAAATTAAAAAAAAATAAATAAAAAAAAAAAGATGACGCACCCAAGAACCTGTGGAAGACCATCGTTTAAGTCGTGGTCGTTTAGATGCCCGAAACCACGTTGGCATGCAAGAATATCTTAAACGTTGATCCGGTGAACAAAATCTATTCATATTACGTTATTTTTTATTTTTTATTTAAAAACTAAGAAATATAACAACCGGTTGACGTTTAGATGTAAACTAACTGTAACTGGTCAGATCATTGTGGATGTTTTATCGCGAGCGCGTGCCCCTATTGTTATGGACAGTTGAGCATACATAAATTATTCGCAGTGGCGCGTGTGCACAACAGGATAAAAAGGCAGATGGTGATTCCGTTCGATGTTACGAAAGCTTTCAATTGTTATCGTAACGAATGCACGATTTGAAATTGGGAGAAAGCAGAAGACTGCGGAATCCAAGAGTAAAGATCATGTATGATTATCACAATAATATACTTATTGCATAAACGAGATGTGCAGGAGGTTTATATGTGGTATTGGATTTTTTTTCGATCAAGTAAAAAATTCACGGCGTTTGCACAATGAAAAAATTGCATAAAAAAAAAAAAAAAATACACACATAACATAATATAATATATTTTTATACTAACGTCTACCGAAATGTTAGGCACCGACTCTCGTTTTTCTTTATACAGACACAGTGTTTGTCCGCGTACAACGGCCCACACCGGTTTCCACGATCGATCGCATGCTTTCTGTAACCATATTACATGTATTGAATGAGTAAAGAGATATTTTTTTATTATTTCCATCGGCAAAGGACTTACCTTGCCGTCGATTTGTATCACTTTACAAAGCAAAGATCCTTCTTTGACGACGCGACTGTTGCCAAGGTCCTGGAACGGCGGGCCATTCTTCTTCGTTCCAAGTATGCTAAAGAAAAATCGTTTAACACGCCATATTAGTAAACGCCGAACAGAGATGAATAGAAGAAGTTCATTAAAGCAATTAAAATTCTTTTATAACACGCACTACAAGTCTCTCAAAATTAACATGATTATTTTTCCTATATACATTAATTTATGTATATATATAATAACACATGTTAGCGAATTTCACGGCACACCGAAATTTGTATTGTCCGTATCACATTTTCTAATTTCTTAGTTTATACATATCACATCGAACGTTATATGTGTGTTATTAAGAATTAGTTATTATTATACAATAGTTAATAAAACAACGGTTCTTAAATATGTACAAGTGAGAAAAGTGTCTTCATTCACGTTTTGGATAATACGAATAAACACAAACCTATTAGTTTGTCGTTGAGGAAAATAGTCATCGTGTCTGTACAAGTATACTTGTGCACTTCAGGTAGTTTACATAAAACGGGCATGTCGAACGTACATTTTTTTTAAAAAAAATACGTTATTATTCATGAGGTACTATGAACAGATGCATAGATAATAACAAAATTAATGTACAATGCGGGTTTTGGGACGCCACTACGGTGGTCGGTCGCACGCACGACATATTAATCTAAATCAATGATTCATGAACCACTGATGAATAATAATAATGGAAAAAAAGAAAATAATTAGAATTATGTATGTAGGGTTTTTTTTCCACACACAATGAATTTTTACGTGTACTTCTAATGGTATGCCGATCTTACTGTCCGTATACCGAACCGGCGTATTTGTACTAGAGGTCGCCTTTACACATATATTGGAGGGCAAGTCCGTTTTTGACCAAAACCGTACCCTTCCCTTTTCGGCCGATTCACTATTCAACCAAATTTAAAATAGACCGATTCCTTTTTCGACCAAAATAAAAATTTATATAATAAATTTAAAATAATGAAATACAATGTTTATTTACAATGTTATTATAATGGTTCAGGGTTTTACTTGCGTAGCGAGGTTTTAGGTTCACATACAGAGTATAATCCCATTTGCAACAGTATCAAGGTTTGTACAAAAACTAGGTTAGGTTTAGACTATAATTTCCCTTGGGGCGAAGCCCCATATCCCGAAAAAGTGCCACGCAGTGGCACTCGAGTTTGTGAGTGGAGCCGGCGGACGTAACGAGCAAAGTCCTAAAATTTTTAAAATCAAAGTTCCGATTTTTCGAAAAAAAAATGCAAACAATTTTCATTACGATAAAAGATCAAAATTAGATACAATAATCGTTCTCTTGTATATTAATATTTTAATAATTGTTGACAAAAATTTTACATATTATTTTATTATTTTAAATTTACTATATAAATTTTTGTTTTGGTCGAAAACGGCCAAGCCCATATTGGACTACACGGCTACCCATATTTTTATCTAAGATGGGGTTAAGGCTCATGTATTTTAATACCCATATGTCTTAATATCCGTGAGTTTGAATACTCATATATTTAAACACAATAATAGTTTATGGAACAATTTTAAAATCACCAAAAATGTTAAGATATAAGGAATACATACGTAAACAAATGCAATGCAATAAAATTGGCAATAAGATAGCTTTGTTTATGTTTTAATCTCAAAACAAGTTTAAATATTGCTCTTTGATATATTATTAGACTTATTATACTTTTACCTAAGTATATAAGATTATACGATAACCAAATGCATTTTATTAATTTTAAAGTATAACTAATAACCATTCATAACCTTTAAAATAATGAAATGTTGGTAAGTAATTAAGAGCTATACAATTTGTATTATTGATTAATAACAAATTAATAATTATTGGAATATACATAATATTATATTATTATAAATGTTAATATTTAAAGAACATATGAATTTTGAATTAATATGCAATATACACGGGTATTAAAAAAACGGGCTTTAATATATTGTTTTCCTTCGTGCCCGGGCTCCGTGTACTCTAATACCCGTTCACAACCACAATTTCTAATTTGTACATACACACAGCATGTTAAACCACGATAGAAACATTACAGACAATAGTAATTTCTTTATAGTAATGGTCTTAAAAGATTGGCCGACGGTTGTTTATTTATATTTATTGACGTGCGGATGTTCGGAGAAGACTTAATATATCGAATTACATCGAAAAAAAGCAGACGTAAAGAATTGAGAAAAACGTCAAGGAAATGTTTAGCCAAACGGATAAAGCACGGCATATGTAACAATAACTATATACAAATCGGTAATATTCAAAGAAAATCGACATTCATCTCATCACATATCATTTGACAATAAACCAAATACCTACATTGAATTTTACGAATTATTGTACGTTTCAGGGTGAATTGAGAATTTTACAACGAAAGAAACGATTAAAATATGCGTACAATAATATAAATTTTACATAGAAAATATTATTATGGTTTAGAGAATCGATCCAATGAAGAGCATTCAGAAATATATTATAATAATAATAGTATTTATGCGTTTTATTATATGAAATCAATATAGATTAATACGAGTGCTATTGAGGTCAACAAATAGAGGGGCTTATAATAGTAAAAACACATCATAACTAATCCAAGGACTATGAATTTAGTCCTTGATAAAGTGCGATTTAAAAATGTTAACACTGTTATGGTTTTTAATAACTCATTAACTTACGAAAACCTGTAGTATACTATATCTGGGGCCAGTTCACAATATTCACTGCGCAAATTTTTGTTTTTTAGAAAACAACTGGACAAAATACACATTTTTGGAAAAAAAAAAATGTCATAGATAAATATACGTATGAGTGTTCATGATAAACGATACGAATGGAATAAAATAGTTTTTGGAACGATTGAGATCCGAGTCTAGAGGATTCCAACTTGAACCAAATCCATCATGTTTCAACAAGTTAGGTCCTGTTGTTAATTTTTATCAATACAAATATTTTTAGTTATGCTTTATACATTTTCACTGCTATTTGTTTTCTACAGTGTATTATAACTGGATAAAATGTAATATTTATAATATTTATTTATTAATCATAGCGTGTTACTATGACTTACTATACAGTAAGTTGTAAGAGAATATAAATTCATAAAAATATAATAAATAAACACGATTAAATACGCTGAATTATAAGTAGAAAAAAATTATCGTATCAATTTGTATAGTCGCTTCTAGAAGGGTGGCCTTGATAAGATTTCAATAGTGATTAAACATGTGAAAACATGCTAAAGACTGTCGTATTCATGCAGGAATACTACGGCTATATACATAAATACGAATAAAATTTACAATTTAATAATACGTATAATTACCATTAGTGATGGGTCAAACTGTTCGAATCTCGAACCGAACATTAAGGGTTCGGTTCGAGATTCGAACTCAGCATGAAAAAATTGAACCAAACTATCAAGCATCTTTTACTGTTAGAAAATCGAACTTGAAAATATTTGTCGAACCAGACTTACTGGCCACGATAGTCCGAAAACCAAATATTTGTAAAATTCTTCAAAAATTATTTTTGAAATATAAAAATTGATATTGATTATTTAGAAATAATTAGACTATTGACGATAGAAAGTGATAATCTGTAATGGGCACGTTATGCATAATTTATAATAATAATGCTATTATTATTATAATAATAATGTTATTTTTCCAGTCGCATGTTAAAAAATACACCCTCCGCTGACCAAAACATTAATTCATTGTTTATCGCCAATAGAGGCAGTGTATCTACATTCAAAAATTAGCTATTTTTGTTTTTATCATATTTATTGTAGAGGTTAAAATCTATTTTGGGTAAATCCATGGTAATATTCCGATATCGCGACTGTGCTGTTAATAAAAACATGTTTACAACTTACGTCTTACATTATAAATTCTACTAATCATTCTATATTTGTGAATTATAGTTATTATTACTATTTTTTTTATATATTATTAAAATGTACTGATTGTATTGTCATCTTGCACTCAATACTCAATACTCAATGAATATTTTATAAGCTACCCGACAACACGAGAGAGCACAATACTGGTTTTGAAAAATAATAATAATAATAAGAAATTATCAAAAATTTAAATGTGTTGTAAATAATACAATTACTTAGACTTAAAAATTAAAATGTAGAATAGATAATACGAAAACTTAAAATATAATAGTAATTAATAATTATGGTTGTTTTAATTTGTAGGTAGGTACAATGTACATGATAAAAAGTATTAAGTTCGAGTTCGAGTTCGAAAAAATAATTATGAGTTCGGTTCAAGTTAGGTTCTATTTAAAAAATCAGGGTTCGACCCATCACTAATTATCATATTAAAAACAAAAGGGCTTATAATTAAATAATCTACACACGCACTATATTTGTCACATGGTATATAGGTAAGTAGGTATATTTACGAAATATTCATTAATTAGGTAGGTACACAGGTAAACTACTAAACTAGATTACTTAGACTAGTTACAGCAAAATAAGCAAAACTAACGGTTCAAATTATTCGAATATAAATATATTAGGTTTCGAAATTATACACCAGACCATAAAGTATAGACAGGTCAATGGTACTATATAGGTATTAGGAAAGTATTATATATTTATTAACATGAATATTAGAAATCATTAGATAAATAGATGTATACATAAAAACACGCATATAATAAATATTATAACAAAATCTGGCATTGATTTATGTTCTCGTTCGGGTCTTGCGAGCAATGACAATAATTTAAATGGTATAAAAAATAGACTGTTCGTAAATTAACCGTTTATTGTATGGGAAACATAAAAATAATTGAACCTTCGGAAATGAAAAAAGAAAAACGATTTACAACGTAAAAATAAAAAAATTATCGAAATCACTGTCTTATTATAATGATGATATTCCTACTGTTATATCTACTGGCGTGAACAAGGTTTTAATGGATTTTCATTATATAGGTGACACTTGATGTAAAAAAAAAAATATACTTTATGTTCTGTAAAAGTTATGCAATTTTCGTTTGCACGTAAGCACACAAAACACGTACAAAATAATAAATATTACAAGACAACAATAATAATGGTAAAATATAATATGTGGTCAGGTCAAGTGACACTGATATCGAAATACTATCTATACAGGGAAGTATATCACACCAATATACATATACATATGTTTATATACAGTTTATTAATTAAATTGTTAATTATTTTACGCATAAATGATAATATGTATATATATATATATGTGAATGTGTATATATTGATAGATAGTTCTGGGAAAATATAAATACTGAGCAGAAACGGTCAAAACAGTCACACAGAAAAATACATAATTATATTATTATAAATCAACATGAACGAACCCACGGTCACAACTTGCAGCGGCATCTTCGAAAAGTCGCCGTAACCTTTGTATGTCACCCGGAAATATGGGTGCGCGCCATTTTTTTTGCACTCTGCACAGTACATTATTATATGTGTAGGTATTTAAACTCGTATGCGATTTGTCAAATAATAATAATAATAATAATAATAATAATAATAATAATAATAATAACAATAATAATAAATATTATACGTTAATGCATAAGGTAGCTTATCACGTAATCCTATACGTATTATATAAAATCTCGTCGAACATCCGGCTTTTGAGTGTGTGTGTGTGTGTGTGTGTGTGTGTGTGTATGTAGGTATGTGTATATAGGTACGTGTTTGTGCAACACAGTGGTGCTGAAATTAAGTTGTAAGGAAATATCAAAATATCTAAAACGAATCCCATCCTCTTGCAATAGGTTTTAGTAAAATCGACAAAATTATTGTTGGGGAAACTGCCTTGGATGTAATACAGGACGATCGCACTACTTCTATATACATTATATAGGTTTCAGTGCCCCTGGTGCGTGTGTTGAGGATTTATGAATGTGTGTACCTTCGAAATTATGTGTTCAAACTTACTTCGGTTGAGTGACGACAATCGACGAGGGTTCGGATTCAGATTCAGTAGTAGTGAAGTCATCGACGGTCATGTGATCGCCCCAAGCCGTCGCTTTCAGGTAAGATATCCGTCTAGTGGTGCGTTCTTCTTCTGTACAAAAATAACAACAACACTTGGTCACAACACGTGTACATTTTATCATATTATTATTAACATGCGTTTACACGAATGTAAACGTAAATACCAATGTATTGGTAACGATTTAGCGTAAAGTTCGTTAATATTATAATACGCATAGATTATAGTACGCGGCATTCCCCTCACCGTTATCAAAATTCGAATTACTCGGTCGCAACGTGACCGTTGTATCGCAAGGTTTTTGCAGCTCGGCGGCAGTTTCCGTATCATCTCCAGACACTGCGGTAACAAAGAAATTCGACCGTGTTAGCATATATAATGAAAATTAAGTAGATTGTATACTCTGAACCAAAAGAAGATTTAATAATAATAATAATAGTGATAAAAGCGTGTTATTGTAGTGCGGACAAATAATAATACATGCATACACTTGTAAATGTAGTTTAGAGTGCGAAACAAACCGCAGCGAACACTGAGCGAAAGCAAATTAAAGGTGACAAGGCGACGGTGGCAATTTACCTAACGCCGTGTTTCGTTAAAACGCTATTATCTCTACATATTATACATTTTTATCGGACGAGACGGAATGCGATTATCGCAACCGATTGATTCGTATAAGGTTTCAAATATTGATACTGCAGTAATAATGTAATACCTACATAGCATATAAAATAACAAAACTATATACGCGGGAGCTGGCCGGTCATCATACATGAATAAATATTCAATAAATATATAGTTAATATCTTATTCGTACATCGATATACAATGCATAGCACGGGTGTGTCTAACATTTTTTTAGGAGATTCAATATTTTTACAACCACGTATTTCAAATGTATATATTTGACAAGATAACCATTTTGATAATAATTAATTTTATAGATTGACAATGGATTACATAAAAAACCCTGGCAAATGTTTAGTGTATTAAACTTAAATCCAATAAAAATATTAAGCATTACTTCTTTACTAAATTCATAAAAAAAAAAAAAAAAAAATGGGGGAAGTGTTGAACAACTAATCCCCAGTGTATAATATAAAATATATAATACACGAATGTTACTGTAGGCGGAATCTCGTGGAGACGGCATTCAAATTGAACGATTCAATTAATATATATACGATGATGACCGCGTGTCGCATGATATTATTAGAATATCATATAATATATATGTATTAAGTAAACACTAATGGTGTTTTCATGTCGGAAAACAAATATGCGACAAAACGTTACAGCGGTGAAGATATTGAACCGTACTTACGACGCCGATGGCAGCTGTAAATTACATTGGCAGATGAGATGAAGACAAAAGAAAAAATAATTGTTTCATATACACCGCGCGCAATTTATTCGGAAACAGAAGAGGTAAAAATCATTTTTGTATGGGTCTATTTACATCGTTTGTTTCTCGACTTTATCGTGAGCGTATAATGCAGTGTTAAGCCTACATAATATAAATCTCCGCACGCACTTCGTCTTTGATTCGGTGAAATTCTTGTTATTTTCGATCGCTGTATTATTACGTTTTTTATCTTATAAAATGTCATCTATTATAAGCTTTCCCATCGCGATGTTATAGAATAGTATACCACAGAGGTTAGTTTATAATATAATGGTACGTGCTGTGTGAAAATAACATGTAAGCGGATCAAATCGATTATTGTAGTCTTACGTTTCCACGTTGTTTAAATCGGTTGTTAATTAATTGTGTTAAGGCCTTTCTAGATAAGAATAAGAAAAAGAAAACAAGGAGCATTTTTCATTTTTTTTTTTTTTAACTGTTATTGGTGCCATCTCTTCTCTCTCTTTCACTAATTTTTTTTTATCTATTACCACTCTCTCTTTCACTATAATACACAACAGGCTAACCTTGGCTAGAACCACTGGACTGCACGGCAAAATTGACCGGCCTATCCTTGGGCAGCTCGAGTCGCGTCGGTCGCGTGTTCCGCCGGCGGGTTTTTGACTTTTCCACTCCGTTTTCCATCGTCCTCTGGTTTCGGCGCTCTTCACACAATTATTTTCATATTATTGACAAACAAATTATTATACTACAATATCATGTTAGAGAAATAAGAATTTTCTTAACCATGTCGTTATAATATATGAACACTGAAGTATCACCAACGAAAGAACCAAAAATGCATTTTAATTACGTAAATATATACGTACATATATATACTTAAAGAAAATATTAAAACAATAAGAAAATGTATTTAAAAGCGGACACCAGAAATTTTTATTTTTATTTTATTTTTTATAGGACATCCAAAAATATAATACGTATTGCAGACGATTTAGTTCAACTTTCTCCTCGCAAACACAAAAAAATATATATATATATATATGAACGCAAGAAAAAATGAATTCAATGCAAATATATTATAATGCGTAACGTTGGAAAACAGGTCAAACCGGAAATGATTTTCAAACGTTAATATCCAAACAAATTAATTTACACAATATTGTGTGATAGAAATAATATTGTTCAAGTGACATTACGGGGCAGAAAATGGTTATAAAGTATTAGTTTTAGCAAAAACAAATTGTATGTATTACAAGGAGAATCTATGGCTGAGAATTTTAGTTAAGAATTCATGATTATGAATATTTTCTTGGATTTAGATATAGTGTAATGAATTTGTGGCAGATGTATGATATAAAAATAAATGTTTGGAAAAAATGTCCAACCGAAATTATATTACTATAACATTCATTTTGCCTTTGGAAATGCGGCAATGTTCTTTCATTCTGGGGATAATAGAAATTCGATTTATTCACGAGCACCCGGCCAACGGGTTATTTTTATCTTTAGCGTAGGTGTTGAAAAGTTCCCCGTTAAAGAAAATAATTAAACGTCCTCGATTGTGAGATAATTGCGATAATGCAGTCGTATTCAGACTTCATTGCTTTTTAAAGCATACTAGTTTCGGCCATGATTTATAACGAGACAATTAAAATTTGTATCAATTGATATGACAATAAAAAATGTTTTGATTTTTAAACATTCTTAAAATTTCTCGGGACTTTTTCCCAATGAAAATAATAATAGTATGTATATATGTGCAAGTGAAAACGACAAAAAGAAGTTAAAATGTATTACATAATTGGGAAAAAATCTAATTAAATGTAATTAAAATTTAATTCGGACACACAGTTATTGAATTACATAACATGCGCGGTGCTATTTTTAATGCGTATCGTTCAGCTTGTCTTCTACCTGAATTCTCAGTTGATATATATATATATATATATATATATATATTCAAGCATTCGAGCTATTTTAAAATGCGTAAATGTTTGAGCGGGGTATAGTCTTACTATAAAAAATAGTATCGGGTTTTGAATAGAATTTCATTATATTATATGGAATTCTCTCACTTATATCTAACTACAGAGACTGCATCGTGCACTATATACTTTATGATATATACCAAGGCCATAATTATCTACTGCAAACGCTACTGAAACGGAACGAAAAACAACGATCAGATAGTAGTGTTTTGGTAGCAACAAAGCCTATGTTCAAAATAATTACGCTCCGCGTTCTATAAATATATTATTGTTAATATTATATGGAAAAATATCTACATCACAAATTCACAAAATAATAAATTGATTGTGTATAATAATACACAGTTGCTATTGCTATAGGACGTTCAGCGATAATATTAATGATCATATTATATACAAGGTGCTTAAAACATAAACAAATGTTGATAGTTGCAAGTTATAAGAAATGGTAATCAAAACATGGCATACCATTGATGGTAGTTACTGTACAAGTTTGAAAAATATATTAAAAAATAAAAATAGAACTGAAAGTGTATAAAGATTAACTATATTTTTAGCAGTACGATTAAATAAATAAGTTTTTAAAAATGATTCGGCACTCGGTGTAAAACGTGAAGATAGTTACTTAATACACTGCGTATATTACAGATATATGCAGATATAATAATGTGTACAATAATCAAATGGAACTGAAATTATTACTAGCTCACCTATGATAGTGGGTTTTTTACATGCGGCCAGGTAGGAATCTTGACGCACCACCGGTTTGAAGCGATATGATTCATCTTTAGCAATAGGCTCAGCTAAAAAAATAACCTCTTTTTCGTCAATCACACCAAAAGAAATAAACAATATAACTAACAATTATAATAATAGTTAAATAACAATGCCATAACGAGAAAATTATTTTGATGCAAGTCTGATGTGATGGCAGTTTTTATCGTTGTGTCCGTCTAGTAAAATTTCACCCGACGCGCATTACGACAAAAGCTCACACCAGAAAATAATTATGTACATAAAAAGCTGACGATTAGTTTGTCTTTCCTTTGGCCTTACCTTTTTGTCCGTCGTACTCTTTAGGCGGATCGCAGTGTAACTTGCTGCTACCGATCGGTACAATTAGATTGCCTGAATGGTATCCTGAAGCGGCCTTGGTGAAAGACATTGACTTGTCAGAACCTGAAACAAGAATATCTTTGAATTATTGCAAATCCCAGAGCGCTGGATCGAGTTTTCCGAGCATTGAGAACCGTATACTATAGCAATGGTTCCTAATCATGAGAGCGCGAAGCCACTAGCTGTAGCTTAATTTGAACTTAGACTAAGGACCCTCCCCTTTTTTTTGTATAGCTTATGAAGCGTTATTATTTTATAGTAAATATAATTGCATTGATATTCGAACATTACAAGTGAATAGTTTCTCTTTCGTTCGTAATTAAATCGGAGTTTTGCTGCACGCTTGCGCAATAAACTCACTCCAATTCCACGAGTTCACGGACTACCCAACTGGGAACCACTGGTGGCTATAAATTATAGTAGTAATAATAATAATAACAATGTATTGTGTGTGATATACTCACCACTGCAGCTACTAGTGATCGAATCATCTCTGAATTCTTGTGGTTGCACGGCCGACGGCTGCTTCTTGTCGGAGTATAGTTTCTGCTCGTACTCCATCTTTCTCACAGCGACGTTAGGAACATTGTGTTTGGACGAGAGCCGGGCCAGTTCGCTCTTGTAGAAATCGGTTTTGTCGTCGACTCGGCCGCTCTCGAACTGCTTGGCTCTCATGGACACCATCTGTAGGTTGGCCTGTTTCAGGTGATGATCGACGGGTTGTTCCGCCGCGGCCGACACGGTGGTACTGGGTGCAGGTCTTGCGGCACCACTGCCGTCTTCGTGTATCTTGTCCAACGTGTTCACGAACTGTTTGCTCTTCGGCTTGGACGGCGGGCCCACCGCAGACGTCGATGGTTGCGGCTGAGCTGCGGCAGGATCGACAGCCGCAGTAGGACAAGGGTTCGTGGCGGGACAGGGGTTTGCGACGGGTTGCGCCGGTGGCCAGACGGGCGCGGACAGTTTCTGCGGCCTGGAGTAGAATTCCTTGGCGGGATGCTGCGGCGGTACGGTGGGTCGCCGGAGGAACTCTTCCTTTTGTTCGAGGCTCTTCTTTATTCGGGACATGATGATGGAGTCGTCGGGCGGCGGTGCCGCGTGGTGGTGGTGGTGATGGTGGTAATGGGATGACGTTGATGAGTCCGCTTGGAGCAGCGCGTCGCGACACGCCACCCCGATGTCCATGCTGTGCCGGCCGCTCGGGTTGACGTGCGCGGAAGATGGCTGCTTATTGCGGTGGTGCAGGTATCCGCCACCGTTCGTCTCGGCGGTGGATGAACGCCGGGCGCTAGGCGTCCGGTGAGGAGACACGAATCTGGCCGCGGTCGACGACTTCGCGCCGACGTTAACGCTGCCGCTGCCACCGCCGCCGTTTCCTCCACGGAGATGATGATCCCAGACGTTCTGGTAGATAGGGCTGGAATCGCGACCACGGTGGAAACGCAACTCGCTGCCCGATGTCATTGCCGTTTTCAAACGGCCGGGTCTCTGGTTGGTCTCGGGGTTGTGAGCGGTTTCGCTGAAGTACTACGGGCAAAAATATCCATACGGTCGTATTACTGATTTCCGATACAATATTTACAATATTTCCGGATAAACGTATGTAAATAACCATAGTTTACGGGATAACACGCGTACACAAATTATATGTAAACAACAAGCAACAATATAATCATTATTATTATTATTTTGCTCGATGTGCAATTGTTTGAAAAATTGCAATTTTTACCGTTTATTTCTATAGCATAATAGTTGATATAAAAAAATAATAGTCTGATTAAATATATTTTTCTGAACCGTTAATATGTATAAAAAAAAAATAACGGGTACTCAAAAGTTTTATTTTACGTACAAATTTGACAGGATTTTCCGTGAAATTTTGGTGTACTACGACACTACTTCGCAGAAATGTTTCAATTTATAATTTACCATAAACCTTATTTTTAACTATTCATTTCGGTTGAAATTTATAATACCCCGTTTCAGTAATAACAGGTTTGATAATCGAAATTTGTCCAGAAAAACATAATATTTGTCGATGACAATTCGTACGTTGTAAACTCAAAAATTTCCGAGAACAAAAAAATAAATTTACAATCAAAATCTTATACTCATTATTAACATAAGTATTATCATTGATTATAGAATAGATCTATTCTATGATCAATGGTATTAGTATTTCAACTTATTGTGAACATTATTTATATGTACGTGGTACCGGGTACACCCGTTCAACGACTAGGAGTGGACAGTTTTATTTTTTAAAATCTATAGAACCAAAAAAAATGATTTTTCCTTTTAAGAAGTGCGCTATTTCTACAAAGCATTTTTAACGTACGAATGTTTATATGAACGTATGTAAGAGAACCGTGGCTAATATATGTACATGATTTTAATATATCTGTACATGAAAGTTGATGTTCGATAACACAAATGCCACAATAATACGAGTAGTTGGTTGCAAGGCAATTAAATTTATACTTGCACTTTTCATTGTAACCACAATTTGATATATAAGGGATATACAAAGTAAATATACTCACCAACTGTAGAATGTCATTTTCCATGGGCACAACGAGCAAATAGAGATAACATTGCGTTTGTTGGATGACCTGCACGACGTGAGCATAAGATTTTCCGGCCACTGTTTCACCGTTGACGCTGATTATGCGGTCACCAGTGTTGAGACCCGCGACACTCGCCGGACCGTGTTCTCGGACATGTTTCACAAAAATTGTGTCCATTGGCTCGTCCGGACGTACGCCGGTACCCCGTCGCAAACCCAACCGTTCGTCACCAGCCAAAACCTAAAAAAAATTGACAGGAACATTATAGATATTTTTAAGAGGATAAAAATAACAGTAATTCAATATAGACAATATTTTAATTGAAACATTTTCCAGCCCTTGTTATAATATAACGTTAACTTCAAAATACAATGTATTAGCATTGTCGCACAAAAAATCAACAACAATAAAATACAAATAAACCAAGTGAGTAAGTTCTTCACATAATTTGCAATAATTATAGTAAACGGACAGTCAATTTTATGTATAAAATAACAATTTAAAATGATGTAGCCATAAAGGCAAATATAAAAGTAAGTGATATTTTTTTATGTATGCCTAATCAAATTTAATAGTAATTCAAATTTACAAATACATAGATTTATCATCTTAAGAATATAGATGTATTTAATGAATTTATGTTATAATTGAAAAGTACCTACCTATATATAATATATGGATTTTCTAATCGACATTGTTAAACACGTGTGCTACAAATAAATTTACCATTATCATTATTAGTTTTTCTAGGAAAACTTAGGCAATTACACTGAAAAAATTCTAAAAATCACTTGTTTATACATATAATATTAAATAGAATACGTATTTTTCTTTGTTTTAGAGCTTAAGTGCATATTTTATGTTTATAAAAAAAGAAAAAAAAATATGTTTAGACAATGATGTATTTTGGATGTATTTATTTCATAGGGTTTAAAAAATTATAATATTATTTTTATATAATATCATTGATTATATATTAAAAATCAATGATAATATGAATTAATCTTAGTATTTTTCTGCGAAGCTTTTTAGCTTGAAACCAATACTTAAATTCAAGATGTTCAAAAAATATCAAACAATAGACATATGTATTTCAATAATTATATACTATGGGCATTTTCCAATTTTTTTTATTCATCAAAATATGTTATGCATTTAGATCAATTATTTATAATTAGTTTTTTGCATATTTTAATTTTTTTGGTACCTACAATTTAAGATCTCTAGTTTAAAATAATTTGACTGCTAAAGATAATAACTAAAAAGCAAAAAGTTGTTAAAATAAAAATTTATAAAAATATCATTACGACTAAAAAATATATTTTGTGTTCACGAAAATACATTAATGATGATAGCCGATTGAAATAGTACCTTCTAAAATACAGTATAAAGATAAATATACATATAGTATTTGTGTATATACTTTTAAGTGGAATAACTAATAAAGAATCAATGAAATTCAAAAAGTGACATAAAAATATCTACTTCGTTGTATTTTATACAATTATTTGAATGTTATATTTATTATTAGTGTATTATAGATCTGTATATAGTATATTTAATACAAATAAAATCCATTATTACAAGTTTTTTATAACTTAGTAGTAGGTACTCGCATTCGATTTTAGTTTCAATTACATTGATTCTATATTTTTTTAAGATTATCATTTATTACAAAACATGTTTTAATAATAAAGCACTGATACATTTTATCGATTTATCATTAATCGTTATAATACTTTTGGAGAAACTTTTGATTTATAATGAAAAAAGCTCTCAGCAGTTTTGTTAAATATACTAATGGAAACAATTTCGAACAAATTAATTTTATATAGAATGTAATTTTGATAGTAAATAGTTTTATTTATGAATTAACAGTGATGTTAGTCCAGATTAATAACGAGCCCAGAAAAAAAATACTGCCCAAGTACAACTTCTGACTCATCCTTTTTTGGCTACAGGTAGCGGAGGAGCTTATCCTGTCAGTAGTTTCGAGAGAAATACAACGATTTAAATAATGTCAAAAATACATTTTGTAACCAAAAATAATTGGCAACCAGGTGAAATATCTCATAGAAAATTCATCACAGATTAATAATATATGTGGTTAGACTAAGTATAAAAACGTAGCACAAGGTGAGATGTTTTACCAGCCAAGAAAATAATGTCGAGTTAAAAGATAGTGTAAAATCGACAAGTGCAAATAATTATCGTGTCATTTTTACCAATATGTATTTTTGTGTGTTAAATCTTATTTTAACTTTTATTTGAAATATTCAATTTAGGTTTTTAAATTAGAAAATCACTTAAATATCATCATTATTTAAATACCGGCCTTATACATTTTAAAATTTGAATAAGATAATAATTGTTTATAATCTTTATTTTAATATTAATTTATATATTTTACAGTACATACATTTTTCATCACAAACCTGGGCATAAATGTTATATACATACATATATAGAATTACAAATTAAAAAGTATTCGGTACTTTTTATAAAAAGGTGAAGTGTTAATTTGTTTTTTAAACAAAGTATCTATTTGATTTTATTATTTTTCATATGTTTACTTGTTAAGCATGTTACACTAATATAAAATTAAAATTATGTTGTAAATGTTCATAAAGTTTATATTATATATATACTTATAAATGCATCTTTTTTTTCTGATGTCCCAACACATAAGTCCATAAGAAGAAAATTTGTTTCAAGTGATACTGATTAATTTAACGTAGTTTTTATTTTGCATTTTTTTTTTTTTTTATATTTTATGTCAATTTTAACTAAAATATTTTTATAAGGCATATGTTGAAGTTTTTAGGGCATTTTTAAGTTATAAAAGCATTTTTCTGAATTAATGTATAAATTCTAATTAAGGTATTTGATTACGCGTTTCGGCATTTATTCACTGAAAAAATTGTATGTTTAGTATATAATCTACTTAAATTAATAAACTAATAAATACGAGCATATCGACTATTTATATAAATAGTATATTTTATTGAAAATAGAACAAAATTAATATAGTCGAGTGAAATTTTTCTATTCAAAGATTCCAATGACGATCATAACAGAAAATTATGAAATAAATTAAATTTAAATAAAGTTAAATAAAATATATATAATATCATTTTTAAATGATATTTAACTATAATAAATATAATTTTTTAAGTATTTTTCGCTATTTTTTAAAGTATGAAAAACTCAGCCATATTTATTAGGTAAATATATAAAATAAAACAAGAAAATACTGTTTTATAATCAGTAATTATTTATCTGTTAGAATTTAGAATATTGTGTGTACACATATTATATATAGTCATCTATTAATATTAGATTATAATATCAATTATTATAAGATAATTTTTAGGAAAACTAGTTACCTAAATTAGCACATAAATAGATTATTCGTTATTAAAATCAAAAAGAGTAGAAAATCTTAGAATACATAGTCATAAATTAAAAGAAGTTACCAAAGTTATATAAGTGTGTGTTATACATAATTTAAATGGTTAACTGTCATCGTATAAAATAAAATATTATTAGTATTTAAAATTAAATTTAACATTTTATTAAGTGACGAAAAGAACGATCAACTGTACAGTTATTAAAAAAAATGTTTACTATTTTAATTTACAACTGCGTAATAGATTTATGAAAATTACCAAAATACTTGAATTAGTTACATTTTAAGAAATTCATTTAAACGAAAACTAATATATAGTTATACTACTTTATTTTTGTTTTTCATTTTTTACTTACAGAATTACCTTTTTTTTTTAGTTTCTTGGTATAAATTTTTACAATAATATAACGATACATATTAAAAAAATAAAAATTAAATTAAATCATTTCTAGAAACACATTTTTTAAAATTTTACTCTCATTATGAATTATCATATACTTATATTATATCAATCCATAGTTGGATAAATTTAATTAGGTATAAACTTAATTCGTAAATTTAAAACTATAGTAATGGATTCACTTTAGGTGCAGCTATTCATATTTACTACGGCAAAAATAAAAACAGAAAAATGTCTTATAGGCGTAATACCTAGTAAGAATTTCAGTAGATGTAATATATTTAAGCTGTGGTCGTATAACCGTGATTTTGAGTGTTCCACATCGAACTGTTGTTTCGCTCATTAACAACATAGACAATACAATTTCTATAAACTATCATTGTGTACTTATATATTCTAAATTAATATTAAAACTAATCTCAAGTAAAAAAGGATGAAAATATTATCAATTTTAATAGAATAATAAATAATTATTTTAATTTTACCGTTAAAAATTATTTATTTTACAATGGTAAAATTAAAATTCAGAAAAATGTATACACTCATTTACATAAAACATAAATAATCGACCAATAAGAGATTAACATAAGACACTGAGTATCATAGTTCATTGAAAAATCAATTTCATAAGTTTTATGTATGGTAACAGACCTTTTGTCGATATGAAAAGTCCTTTTGAGTTTATACTATAAACTAGTCGTTAAGTATGAGGTCAAGGGTATTATTAATTGTTAAAAAAAAATTAAGATATCATTTTTATAAAAAAAAATTCCATTAAAAACGATCTGATTTTACAAATAGTTCAATGTTAAATTTGTTACCTAGCAAATTCAATTTACGATTACCATATAACAATATTATAAAAAGTATTAACGGTAAAAATTACAATTATCGCTTACCAAGTACGATTCGGGCGGATAGACGATGAAGTGACGTAATGTGAAACCAAATCCATTTTCTGATCGTCGTATGAACAATGATCTAGGACCACTGGATCTTGGTTCTCCACGGTTTTGGCCCTATAAATATAAACATTTGTTAAATAAATAAATCTAAATTTTAAAGGAATCAAGTTAAAAACAGAATATATATAGTATATACAAAGCATTGTTAATATTCAAAATTTTCTTCTGAAACACTAGAAATTTGCTGTTCAAAATTTTACGCTAGTCCTTGAAATGTCATAGCGCTTAGAAATATATAGATATAAGATATTAACAATAAGTCGTAGTTTCTTTATCTTGGTGTCTGTAAGACTTACATGAACGGGGTCATTCGTGATCATTTAAAAAATGAAGGATATTAATTTAAGTCATAGAAGAAAACGTACGTAATTCTTACTGTTATTTTTCAATATTTTCGCCAATTGATTTATTTTTACATCTTTTTATTATTTTATAAAAATATTAAAAATATAAAACCTATTCGATAACAACATTTCACAAAAAACATATCATAAAATGGATTTTAGAAGAAGCTTAGAAAAAGCTTTAAATGTAAACCATTTTTTATTGGTGTTATTTCAGATTTATGATGTTAAAAATTTAAAAGAATATATATATTATTATATATTTTAAATTTATAGCAGAGTGCAACATACGAAATTCATTTTGTTACAGTAGAGGTATACGCGATGGAATCATGCCTTTTATGGACGAATAAGAGCTGAGACCAGATTCTTGCACAGAATTTAATTCTCAATCGATTGATACTAAAACCACAAGATCTCATTATTTGCCATGTAAGGTACCATGACAGTAGCAAACATTTGTTTCAATTACTAATATAAAGTGAACGTACAAATTCAATATTATTCATTGGAGTTATTTTTTTTCCCTTTTACCAAGAATGTTATAAAATTAAGCAAATTTTACTATAACGGTAACAATATATACTGCGGTGGATTTAAATATAAAAAATATTTTATACATCTCTACATAACAAACGAACAAAAAAAAAAAAAATTTTTACGTCACTGTGTATGCGTTTATATAGAGAACTATCACCAACTTGGTGTACAGGATTTATTATATTATATTTATTTAAGAATTCTTCAAGGATCAATTGATATAGCGTATTTTTACTACACTGTACATTCATAATTCTTGAAAACGGTATAGTTACTATCTACCTACGTAATAACATGCTTATTTTTTCAAACACTTTACTACCGGCATATTCGTTATCAGATATTTGCAATTATTTTTATTTTTATTATGAGTAAACGTCATAGGCCATGAGTAATCTGTTACGGTAGTCGGGTAGAGTAATTAGTACGAAGTATAGGTGTATATTATTGTTAGTCAAATATTAATGAATTCCGTTTGATCACGGCAATGCTGATCTCTATTCATTACACAAGCATCTTCTGCGATGACCCTTATAGTAATCAATGCAGTGAACCGACACCCGGATAAGCAAACTTTATGGCGTTACCGCAATTAATTTATAATTTATCGTAACAATAATAAAAGTTAACAGTAGACACCCGTATGTTATACAGAACGCACAATATATAAAATGTACAGTCCCAAAAATGTCCTTGTCCTATAGCATATTGTTCATTTTAATCATCGTTAATATTATAATTGTCCTAAAATGTACTACCACAAGAGTGAATTCAAATAAAAACAATTCACGTCATTAATTCATTCATATAATTATAATCAAATATATACGAGTAGAACATTTTTCCCTTCGGTGTTTCGATCCTATATACATTATATACTATAAACGCATATTTTGATCGCAAGGCACGAATTTATTTTAAAAATAATATACCTTATTGGATTTCAATACGTCTTTTTAAGTGCGCCTACAGTTGTAAATCACTCGTACAATTCTCGGGCGACAGATAAAGAAGTAAAATAAAAATCGCGATGAAAATATCAAGCCGAGGGAGACACGTCATTTCGTCGGAACAGTAAATATCAACACATACTCGGCGTCTCAGCAGTAGTAGATAAACATACAAGAGCGATGAAGACCGGACAAAACGTACACGCACGCACGCACGTGTATAATAAATAAGGGGGCCGCCGAAGATGATGTAAAAAAATGTTTAACGTAATGTACTCTATTTTCCGTCGGTCGCCTCGGACGTATCACGTGTTTAACAACTGCCGCGGTGGTTTTTAACGACTTCGTACGATTATTATTATTATTATTACGAACGCGGGAGAGTGCACACGCGCAGCCGCGTTCGTCATAAATATAACTCGGACTAAAACAACTCTCGCGCGCACCGGGGCCAGCGCGTACACCATTATTATTGTAGTCGGACGGCGGCGGAGGTGCGTATTATATTATTATTCTGTTGTGCGCGGTCGTTTTCACGATTTTATTATTATCACACGGCGGCGGCAGCGGATATTTGATTTGCACACGTAGTTCACCACAATACGTAAGCGTGCGCGCATACGTTTATGCACACCGCGAACTGCCACACGCCACTTCCTCGTCTGCGCACCGGCCAAAACGCTCGCACGCGAATTTTCATTATTATCGTTATCGTTATTATTACCATTATATTAAATTACTACAGTGCGGTACACGTTCGTTACTTCGTTTGTCTTCGGCCGCACGTTACTGCAACTACACCAACTGTGATGTGATCGACGAGATGTGTAAAAAAATAATTGCATTCGTACTACTATACAATAACAATACGTGCCTATATACCAATTTATATACGTGTACAGTAAGTATACGTTATATGTGACGCATGAAAGTGCAACAGTCCAACCACAATGAACTCCCGCGAGTATCTATATACACGTACGCTCTGCGTTATTATTATATCCGCTGCCAACGTGAATTATAATGGCGACCAACGTAATCATTTTATTTACATACCTAACCTACCCATACCGAATCGTATAATCTAAAAATTGCTCAGACATTTAACCGAACACGAAATTACAGTCTAAGAAAAAAAAAACAATACACGTTCTTACCTATATTACTATAATTCTTTTAATGCATACCGTTTTAAAAGAAATTTCTTTTCTTAAAATTATAGTATGCCAATAGATAAATAAGTCACTGATTGATTGATGCAGGGAATGAAATAAACGTATACATCGATAGCATGGTTTAATGAACAAGAATAAATATCGACTAAAACATAGGGAATTAGAGTTAAATTTTATTATTATATAATTTTATAAAATATTCTATATAAATATGATTTTAATACATTATTTCAGTTTTAATTCTACAAAGAAAAATCAATGAACACTCATATGACATGGAAAACGAGGAAGAAAAATAAACGATGTCGATGAAAGTGGATTAATTAATAGGACATTGTACTTAAGTTAAATGCGTATTTATTATATATAAACTAAGACAGATTCTATAGGAGTGTCATGGCGGAAGACGAATGAGTCAGATGAAAGTGAACAAAGATGATGTTGTATTTTAAATCACGAGCGCGCAGTTACACGCCCAGACCTAAAGCTATAGACGAATGAGAAAAAATGTTTAGACCGCAAGGTTTTAAGAATGAGAATCGAATAAAAAATATAACTAAATAAAATAAATTATTTCATTGATAAAAAATGATAAAGAAATAATTTAATTCAATTTTCTATGATATAGATACCAGTCAGAAACAGAAATGTTTTATGATTCTATTAAATAATTTAACGATATACTTAACCAAACTATTAAGAATTTTTAAAATGAGCGTTTTTGATGGGATTATAATTATATAAACATCCTACTAACTACTTCCAAATAAATTAATGAAGAATAAACATTTTGCTTACTTTATGTCTACTTAAGCCCAACAGCAATAACCACTTCAAGTATTTACGGCTTATTGAAATTATTTATGTTTCTATACATCAATACACTATTAAATACATAATATCAATAACAAACATTTAATAAATTTCAATGTCTTGATAAATTATAAAATTATATATTAATAATAAACACAATATAGTTACACTATTTATAATACATCGTAACCATCAAATATAACGGTTAAGATATTTTTAATAATTATCTAGGACTGTTCAGTCGTTTTTTTTATACATTTTAAATAAAAAAACCGTTATAAAAATTATAAATAATATATAAAGCTTGTTTGATTTAATGTATATACTATAGTATGTGGTCGTACATTTTTATCCTAATCTACTGCAGTTGTTTCGTTGTTTGTATATAATATTATAAAAATATAATTAAAATAGAAGAAAAAATAGTTGGCAATATTCAAATGCGTGTAATATATAATGAACACGATTTGCATGGCAGTGATGGTGACTTGAATGCACGTTCTCCAACCCAATATTAAACAGCGCAAGCAGCTGCTATAATATATATACATATATATATATATATATAAGCTTTAAAAGATTCAAATACACGCGCATAATATCCTGAGATGTGCGATTTTATCGTAAAGGGACTTTTATATGTGACCTAGTTAAAAAATATTTTTTTGTAAAGACTTTCATTGAACCTCGCGAATTCTTTCAGCCTAGGGTAATTATTGTTTTACAAACCATGGGCAAAATGTATAACATTTGATTAAGTACTATTTAAATAACAAAATATAAGAATTTTTTTTTTCTAGTAACAAACTAACATTCGTTTTATAAAACGACGTGACGAGGGGGCGACGGCGACGAGAAGCAGCAGACGACATTTGGAAAACATTACTTTGTTACCGGGTTGACGTAGACAGTGCACATATATTTTTTATTTTTATTTTTTTGGCAGTAGCTCAGCCGTTTATAATAAATCGGCTGCCGGCCAGGCAGCAGGCGATGATTTCTGACATTAAAAAAAAAAAAAACCGTTTAGCCAGCCAGTTTATAGATCCCGTTGCCGACTAGTACATTTTATAAACTAAGAGTAGTGAATTGTGGTATCAGTTTCGTTGCACATAGTTACATAAATTATTTAGACGAACAAAACACAAAAAAAATCAATGGGTCGAATTTTATTTTAAATGTTGTTGACAATGTTAACGTTTCAAATACGCACAGGTGCCAGTGATGGCGAT